AAGGGCCTTGAAGTGAGCTTCTAAGCCTCCGTAGTTCAATTTACCTTCTGTCTCAAATTTGGAATTACACTCCCAAAATATACTGGATCCAAAATACAAGGTACGTCGTGACAGAGCCCGCTCTTGGAAGGTCCAACCGCGCGAATTCAAGGTGCTGCTGCTGAAACAAGCATACTGATTTACGACACTTGGGGAATGGTGACTACGGTCGGGACTCTGATTCCATGTTCGGTAAAACTGACATCCTTGGAAGATCAACGGATCACGCCGCGCAAATAATCCGTCTGTAGCGCGTGCTGCCCCCAGTGCTGCAATGGTCAATGTGGCGTTGCGATAGACGTCGCACATGCCTTTCGCTTCTCGTTGCCAATCTTGAGCATCGTCTTGTAATATGCAGAGGCTATCCACCCACAGGAAACGGGATCCAAGCCTATAGGCTACTCCGATAGCATCTTGGATTGTGAGTGCTAATTGATCGAATGGTATCGAGGATTTGAATGCCGCAAGAGATTCGGTTGTGGACTTTAAGACGTCTGAACCACCCCAGCAATAGCTCAATACAAAATAATGCACCTTATTCGTCGGTTCTACGAGTCTGATCTCGCGAGGGTTCATGATCTCAATCAGACGCGTCGGGACTTTAGACGGTAAGCTATGATGGCATTCTGAATGAGATTCCAAACAGTCTTGTAGCCATACTCTGCAGCGTTCCAGACATTCATCCGAACCCGTATAGATGCTTCGACAAAAGGCAGATGGAGGCTCAGAAGTGCGCGGGTGTCGTATCAAGAACGTGGAGTAAAAGTTCCCACCCTCATGACGAGTGGCCAATGTGACCCCATGAGTCGAACCATAGGTGTAATCGTCTTCAAACCCTTCGTCCATGTCTCCAGCAATACCTGAATTCACAGGGGCTACTAACCTTGACCACACAACATATGGAGCGACGCTCCGAAAAGGAGGTGTTTTCTCTGTCGCTCCATAAGAGCGCTGTGTTTCTCTCAAGACCAGAGTACATAGATAACAACCACCCAAGGCGGAGTCGCGCAGAAGACTCTCGTCGATCTCGAGCTGTCCTTCAATAGGGATAGTGGAACTGTCCTCTGTGAAGAGCGGAATCTCTGGTAGCTTAGGACTTTTGCGAAGTAAGTTCTCACACCACAGGCACAGAACATTGAATGTGGTCTCGGCAGTCAGATCGAAGGACTCTCGCTCTTTGGCGCTGACTGGTATGAAGGTGGGATCATAGGTCCATGGAACAGGTCTGGGAAGCGGTGGCAGTTTTGGAAGTTCCATGGTAACACGAGCAACCACCTGCGATTTTCATGACGGGAACTGGTCGTGGAGATGTATGCACAGAGTGGTTGAGATTGAGACAAACTGGCAACTGTGCCGCACCGCTCCAGGTGCGTTTCGTGTCACGCTGCATCTGCAGCATGGGTGACATCTACGTCTCGCCAATAGGACATTTGGTTCTCCACCTCAACAGGGTATAGCGATAGCACATCTTCCATCATGCTAAATTTTTCCACGATACAGGGAGATAGGATGAAGAATGAAGAGATTAAAGGAAACACTGAGAATAGAGAAAACATATCCTGGTATACGGTGAACCTACATAGATGGCGCTGTTGTAATGCTGTGAGGATGCGAAAGACAGAGGTCGCTAAGAGTGTAAAGTCTTCCCTTGCATGGGGCGGGGGTGCCTACCTGTGCTTACTTGTATTCTCACTGAAGCGGGTAACAGCTGGCCTACACACACCCAATAACAGCGAAGAATTAGATGGTTACACATCAACCACCATCCAAGATTGTTGAATTCTTCCCATTCTGAGGTGCATGTGTTCAGTTTGATGCCTTACGGTCGGTCATACGGCCTCTGACGTCACAGCCGTCAGTGCGCCAAGCCTCAATCCTCACATTTTTTGCTAGACGCTTGCGTGCCGATTTCCGAGACTCAACTACGGGGCTGCCCGTCGTTCCTCTCATTTGGCGCGTAGACACCAAGATCGCCACTAACTCTAGAACAAGCACGCTATGGGCCCGTATGACGAAACGCGTCCGGCACTCTTTCCGGGATGCTTGAGAAGAAGGTGTCATGGCTGGGAACCTGTAAATACTACCTAAGCATGGCTCAGGGCTGCTCAACACCTGGTCGCGTGCTTCATACTTATCACCAAAATGCGATTCCGCGACAGAACTAATACCACGTACGAGAAAGATGAGGAGAAGCCACCGCAAGAAGTTGGGTTGCGCGATCGCATCGTGCATTTCACATGGTATGTACACGCGCCGAGGACATTCGAATAACGAGCTCACGACACCACAGGCCATGGTTCGCATGTACGATGTCAACAGGATCATTGGCTGTAGTCCTTGGGAACACCCCAAACAGGTTTACCGGCCTGGAAACCATTGGCAAGGTGGTCTTCATCTTCGACCTCGTACTCTTCATCATATTCAACATCTGCATGTTCGCGCGGTTCCTCCTTGTCCCTCGCAAGCTACTCGGATCGCTACACCACCCAGTTGAGGGTCTGTTCTTCGGCACGTACTGGGTGTCAGTCGCCCTCATACTCAACTGCATTTACATTTATGGCAACACGTCGACTGGTGCATGGCTCACGAAAACTCTCGAAATTTTGTACTGGATGTACTGCGCCGCCGCTTTCCTCGTCGGTGTCATCCAGTATTCGCTCTTCTTCCGTCTCGAACGCCTCAACGTTGGCGACGCTGTGCCTGCTTGGATTTTCCCAATATACCCGTTGCTTGTCGTGGGCACTCTGGCTGGTACTATACTTCCATCCCAACCTGAGACGCCCAGCTGGAAGATATTCGTCGGAGCTATACATTTCCAAGGACTCGCATGGGTTGTTTCTTTCCTGCTGTATGCGTTATACATGCAGCGCCTGATGACCAGTTCTTTGCCATCTCCCACTACCCGACCTGGGATGTACGTATCTGTTGGTCCAGCTGGTAAGTCCATACTCTGCATCTTTTCTTATCACAGAGGTATTGACAACGATAGGTTACACCGCCGCTGGTCTCATCTCCCTCGCGAACCAAGCACCGTCGCTTATCGCCGCAAACTACTTTACGAACACTGTAGTCCCAGACGGCGAGATTGTACGCATCATAGGCATTATGGCAGGCCTTTTCATCATATTGTTCGCATACTGGTTCTTCATCATAACAACCATCGCTGTCATAGTGGGAATGCGTAGAATGTCCTTCTCGCTGAACTGGTGGGCGTTCATCTTTCCCAACGCAGGACTTACGCTTGCAACGATACAAGTAGGGAAAGTGCTACACAGTGAAGCTATTAACGGTGTTGCGAGCGCTTTGACCGTTCTACTGGTCATCATGTGGTTCGTCACGGCAATCTTTTGCATTCGTGCCGTATACCTCGGACAGGTCTTGTGGCCTGGAAAGGACGAAGACAAGACCATGTCCAGATTAGCCTGGGGTTGGCAGGGCAACAGGGACAACCCTGAAGCTGGCAAGATCAGGCCATAGTGTCCCGCGTTGAAGGGATTGTTGTTTATCGAGCGAGGCGTAAGGTTACGAAAGTGTTGTAATACTAGCATGATACCCTGTTCAATTTCGAGCAATTCTATAGGAATAGTGACCCGACTGTCATTGGTATTGGTTCGTGTAAGCTTGACTATTTAAAGGTTCGCTTTATGATGGCGTATAGGCTACGGTCTGTACGAGGCTGACCATGTGGACCGTGGACATTGGGTTTCCGAGGCCATTCGTGATCTGGGGTGCGTTGGCGCGCCCTGGCGTCGTTGATTAGGCTTGGTGCATCTGCCACATGACCTCGTATCGAACAGTTGGCGTCGAGCGGAATTGCTTGGATCCAAGAGTTCCCGCCCTTGTTCTGCCTGCGACAGCATGTAATCCTTCTCCACTGAAGAAATGTCTGAACAGTAGATTACCAAGCAATCGTACCGTCACGCGGATGTTGCGGAGTCGCGACGCGTACAGCTAGGTATGGTGCAATCCTATTCTACTTGATCGTCACACACGTTCGTTGGTGCACGCTGGTCACCATGAGCTATTCTGTCTAACGATGGTAGTTTCAGCCCAGGGGCAAACCGTATAGCTGCTCGTTTACTAGCCGAGTGCCACGGTTCAACAGAACGATACAGAACCGTACAGAAGCTCTCGGCAGCATTCTCGGAAGCTAGGCGCCCAGCATTGCCCAGCCGAGCCTTGACAAAGAGTTTTCCAACCGTCATCGTGAACTGCAAGGAGGACGAAAATGCTCGTCCGCAGTTGCACAGTGTCTGTAGAGTGCAGCAGGTGACTGTCGAAGAAGCACTCGGCCAATATTCGCGGTCGGCACAATGCATGGCCCCGAACGTGATCTTAGGCAACGGCCGGACATAAAGTCAAAACTCTAAAAAGTGAATAATCGCGATTCTGTAAACGCCGATCTTCCGAAACCCAGTCTCCCTCGCAATAATTCCTTATCACCCTCCAACTCAACACCTTGCATCATCCCTCGCCTAGAATTACACCACGATAACAAACATATGGTCTAGACCCTGCGGACAGGGCGACTTGGCCGGGCTAACGTGTAAATCGCACCGTTTAAGCGCTGCTTGGCCGGCTGGCGGAGAGGAAATTGGTGCGGGGCTGCCTTGTCTACGCACGCATGAACCACTTATCGCCGCTCGTCGGACACAACCAAGCGGCACAGTAAGCTGTTCGGGGAGACTTGCCACGCGTTGTGCAGGTCCTGGGCCGAATCAGCGCGTTGGGCTGACACGGCGGAGCTGGCGTTAAGGCACCCTTGTTTGGTAGCGTGCTATAATTGGCTGCGGGAGTGACGGGTGGAGCATGCGATGCTTGGATTGTCGGGGATAGGGTTTTGGGTTGGTAGTCTGGTGGATGCATGCGTGGAGCTGGGGTTTGGGATGCCGCATGAGCAATGGCATTCTCAGGTGAGCCGTGGGATTCTGGCACAGTATATAGCTGAGCCGTATCCCCACATGAAGGTGAAGACTCAACATCGCAGATTTCCTGTATCAGACTTTAACTACCTCATCATCATCATCAGTCTACACTACTACTACCACTATCATACCAATCTCAAACACAACCTATCCTATCAACAAAAATGTCTTCACCCGCTACTCAATTCGTCTACGTCCCCAACCTAGTTGGCGGCCAAATGCTCAGGATCCCCATCGAGGACATCGAAGCCGAGGGCCAGATCTCCATCTCACAACAACCCATTGCCAGCCCAACGCTCTCGTCAAGATACGTTCGTGAATCATCCCCTTCACCGAGCGTCGAGAGCGTCGACGACACCGACGAGTGATAAGCTCATACCAAGACGACGCACGGAGACGATACAATGACGGCAAGCCTTGCTCTGGTCTGCAGGCAAGCAAGGCGGAACCAGCAGCGGACATTGCCAAGCAGCCTAGTCGCAGCCTCGATCAATACCCACGAGTCAAAAACACGGAGGACTGACATCATCGTCCCCATACCCTCACTGCAATCACAACATTTTCTTCCGAAATGACGACAGTCGATCCGTTGGACCCCATAATGCCACCGGAGAAAACTTTCATATTGCGTGGAGTTGGCGTGTGGGGAATACTTGCAAACAAGGAGAGGATCTTTGGCTTGGTTGGAGTCGAAGGAAGCTTGGGGGAGTGCCGATCGGAGATGGATTGGGCAGGGAAGCACGCGTTGGCTTGGCGGGGTGTGGGGTTTGCGATTCAGTACTTGAGATGGGACGAATCAATCGGTTATCATCGGTAGTTTTGGTTACTTAATGTCTACTATCTAATTATTTGTGGTACTTTTGATCACTTGACAGTGTCCATGCTGCGTGAGAATGTGAGTTGTGATTGCGATATGCGGTGTGATTGCATGCTGCATGCACTGACTATGCATTGACTACGTCGTGACAAAAGCAACAAGAGGGTGATGTTTCGTATCTTGCACAATCGTTATTCTTTTTATGCATGCAACCTGTCTCATGATCGCTATGTACCATGATGACCAGAACAAAGCAGTAGGTGTTGTAGCCTACGATGACTCTCCAGAGGGAGCCAAGCTCCGCTGCAGGCCAACAACACTTTCCTGCACAACTAGCTAAAGGGATTACTACTCCAGTCATCTTTCCGCTGGACGGTGTTCTCTATGAGTGGCATCTTCTTCAGCCGTAAGCTCGATCTCATACCCCAACTCATACGTTGCTGCGGACCTTGCTGGCATGATCACTATGCCAGTCCATGTACCTTCTTTCCTTTTCTACAGACTCCTCATCTTCTGGTACACATCAGACACCTCACCCTGCATTGCCTGTTGTATCTTTCTCGTATCTGCAGGTGTAATAGCGGCATAATCGGAAGGAGAGCTGGTGAGTGTACTAATGCAAGTCCAAGCTTGTAGGGTTGGGTCCTTCCAGTAACCCTTCTCCGGATCTGGGACAGCCACGTCACGAATCGATATTTTGAAGTAGATGGTGAGTTGAGCAAGGCATCGATGACACCGCGGCCGTCGTGACGATGATCCCCTGTAGTCTTGGTGCGAGCCGCGGTGCATCTTCTTGCCGATCTGTCCGGTCAATGGCATCGGTGTGGATTTGCGACTGTGGGGGTACCGTATGCGGACGAAGCTTGGTTTCCCATAGCTGCTATAGGTATAAACCGAAGCTAGGCCAGGTACTGATGAGCGGTTTGTGGTAGATCATGTCAGGTCCACGAGCCTAAGAAGGTTGTGTAGGCATGGTAGCTCGGCAAATAAATACCATCGAGAGTCGCGAAAAGAGTATCCTGTTGCACGGGTTGATTTCAGCATGCAACTACTTAAGGATCTGCGCAACCATGGTGGTATTTGAACTCGCTGTGCGAATTGGTACGGCCGGGTTTGGCAAGGAAGGCGGCGGCGGCGGCTCTAGGCTGTGCATTCAATTACAGAGATCAGTGTAGATACATCCAGTATCTTCAAGGCAGATTGACGATGGAGACAACACTGGATCGTGTTAATGAAGCGGATCGGGTTGTGAAGGTTGGTTGAGAAACTCCGGTAACGCACGGACGGCCCGCAAGCATAATTCGTCATCATGAACAAACTTTCACCCATCATCTTGCTCACTTCTTGATAACGTAGAGCTGACGGCGAGAATAATACGACACTGTCTTCGATCATAGCCATGGAGTTGTTTCGTTGCTTTTCTTGCGCATAGTGGCGTTCCCGACAGCATCTGAGATTCTTCTGGGTACCAGACTCCCTAAGTCGATTTCTGACCGTATCTTCGAGTGTTAATTAAGCAAGAAACAATTGAAGAGGTTGTGGTTAGTCGAACGGCACAACACTCATATCGGGATGTGGGCCACTTAGCGTCCATGCTACCCGATGTGGAGTACCAGGTAGTTCGGGGTAATATGAACCCTATATGGACAACGGTAGGTTCAAAATCTTGATTCGGGGTAACTTTCCAGGATGCCGAAGCCACTATGATGTACCTACTATATTGCGCCAAGTCTGGGGTCAAGTCTGGGGTCGAATCTGGGGTAGAAGTACTATTAGCTGTGCAGCCGTTCACTGGACCATGTCTTGAAGGGGTCCTGAACATTTGCAAAACCTACTCATATCATCAGCTTGGCCCTTAGACCTAGCTAGGTTGACCGGCTCCACATGTTGCCCTTCATGCTCCTCGTCGCGATCTTGTGGCTTCAAGCTGGATGCTACCCCGACCAGAGAAGATGACAAGAGGCCCATCTGTAAGCTATAAAGACCAGCGATCCAATGTCTAGGAGATTCCGTACACTCCACCAAAACTCAAGTATCGCCTCATTAAATATGGTTGCCTTCAGCATCATTGCCACTTCTCTTGTCTCCTTCATCCCCTTCGCTACTGCCAGTCCGACAGCGCGTCAGCAACCTGCCTACCTCGACTGGAAAACGTTCAAAGCCAATGGTGTCAATCTTGGAGGATGGCTCGCCCAAGAAGCTGTCATTGACCCAAATTGGTGGTCTCAGAACTGTGGCACCACAACTGATGAGTGGACTTGCTGTGCCCAACTAGGATCAAAATGCGGTCCTGTTCTCGAGCGACGCTATGCTACGTTCATCACGCCCACCGATATCGACAAGCTAGCTACTGCTGGCGTGAACATCTTGAGAATTCCAACAACGTATGCTGCTTGGGTCAAAGTTCCCGGGAGTAACTTTTACAGTGGCAACCAAGCTCAGTTTTTCAAGAACATTGCCTCCTATGCGATCGCAAAGCACGATATGCATATTATCCTTGACATTCACTCCCTTCCCGGAGGCGTAAACGGCATGGGCTTCGGCGAAGGCGAAGGCCGCTTTGGATGGTTCAACAATGTAACGAACTTCGACTACTCTCTACGCGCTGTCGATGCTGCATTGGCTTTCATCCAATCCTCCGGTACTCCGCAGTCGTACACTCTTGAGCCAATCAATGAACCAGTGGACAACCGCGACTTCACAACATTTGGAACACCAGCCGCTTTGACGGATAACGGCGTTGCGTGGACACAGAAGTATTTTGACGCGGTTGTTGCGAAAGCAACGGCCGTAAACAAGAATATACCCGTTATGTTGCAGGGTAGCTTCAAAGGTGAAGCATTCTGGTCTCCCAGGTTCTTAGCTTCGGCCAATCTGGTCTTTGACGTACACAACTACTATTTCGCTGGGCGTCCCACAGACTCTGATACTGTGAGCGCAGACATCTGCTCAGACGCCAAGGTATCGGCAGGGGATGGCAAGTTTCCTGTATTTGTTGGGGAATGGTCCATCGAGACTGTGGCAGATAACAAGTTTGCCAACCGCAGGAAGAACCTGAACACAGGGCTGTAAGAAATATCCCTGTACGAACTGCATTTGAGATATACACTGACTTGGTACGCGTAACATTAGGTATGCTTTTGCAAAGTACACAAGAGGAAGTGCTTATTGGACTGCAAAGTTTTTTGGTAACGTGCCTGTAGCGGGAGAGGGTGTCCAAGGCGATTACTGGAACTACTCAGCCTTCATTGACATGGGTATTGTCAAGCCAAGTGAAGGAGCACAGTACTGCAACTGAGGGTTTGTTCAGTGGAGAAGCTCGATTTTGGTGTTGTTTGGTGTATGGGCGAGTAACAATCTTCCAAGTAGTACAACAAGCATCAGGGTCACCACAACCGGTAACGTCCAATACTTCCTCTTCCGTACCCGTCCCCTGTATCCAGGCATCAGCGTATAGTATAAAATATAGGACACGATCTACTTACAGGTTACTCCTTCAACCTTTGAGTCAATACGCAGAATATCTCCCCCAGCCAATGTTTCCCACAGCTCTGCTATACTACCCGTAGTCGTCATGAACCAGCCAAGAAAAGGCAGACGATCATGTCTTGATCGTTGCTCGTACTCTGCGTACACATAATCAACCTTTACGCATTTCAGCCATTGCTTCTTGGTTTCCGACCATTCCTTATATGTGTTGCCGAAGTACCTTAATCTTTGTTGCTCGGTGTCGGGAAATCTCTGGAAACCATGATGTCGATAACACCATCTTTGCGCAGTTTCCGGAGCCTCAGCATCGCTTGTAGCGAGGTCTGGAGCACCTTCCAATGCTACATTCTTCTGTGGCAAGAAGTAAGGATCCAGCAAGACCTCTGCATCGGCGACGAGAAAGACACGATCCGGTCGACCGAAGTTTGGCGACGGTATACAATTTGTGGGGGGATTACAATAGACCTTTCGGAGATCATCTATAGTAAGACCATCATACAAGGAGGCGTCGGAGCGAAGATCTAGGCGAAAGAGAGAGTAACAGTTGAGATCTAGGCGGTGTTTCATCCTTGCGCAATCCCGGGATGGTTCCTTCGACTCCAAGTAGGATCGCTTCGATTAAAGATTCCCATCGCGACTGCGACTCAGGCGTGTAGCATGTACGGTAGATTGTATAGCCCCAAGGGTGATAGGAATCTCTGGGCTGATCTTCTTCCTTCTCGCTGTCCTCCTCCTCTTCCTCTTCCTCTTCTTCTTCCTCTGCCGACCAGTCCTTTGTCTTGATCAGGTCCCGTAGCATGTGTTTGGGAGATTCAATCATGGTATTTCGAACCAGCTATTTATTAACGAGAGTTCGATGTGTCAGTAAATGATCGGTAGAATAACCATATCTTTAGATGTCAGGTTCATATACCTGCCTGACACGTAATTGTGGCACGGTAACCTCCAGGCGATAACCGCACTTACTCTATCAGGCTTAGTGAGTGTTCTCTGCACTGCCTTCAGACTTGCGGTAGCGTTGGTGGTAGAGCTCGTATAGATGTTTAACAGAAAAAAACAGTCTCTCTGAGTTAAAACTAAGGCCTACTAAGATACGTGGATACAACGCGTCCTGGGTATCCAGAATTCCCGACTCATACCAAAACAACAGCGGCGTATTCATGTATACCTAGGTAAATACCCCACAGAAAACATACCTTGTTTCTTCAGCATCTCCCTCGCCTCCGCCTCCCTGTTTATCCTCTCCTGCTTCTCCAACTTCTCCAACTCTTTCTTCTTCTTTTTGTTGGCTTCCTTCCGCTCCTTTTGCGTTTGCACCTGCTCCTCCTTCATCTTCTTCCAAAATTCATCATACCAGTTATTCTTAGTCCTTCCCTTACTAGCGTCCCCAGCACTTGATCTACGCAAGTTACGTCGTCCAAGCATACGGTCAGTTTTACTTTCTTGACAAGCGCGCCCAAGATTCCACGCTTGCCACTCGTAGGGGTCGTTTTCTTCTTCTAGTCCTGGTGGCGGCGTTAGTTGACGAGGCTGTAAATTATCTTGCGGTCGATTCGTGCGCCGAAAGTATTCTTCTTGTGTTATTTCACGACCGGGGAAGATGAGGCTCGAGGCAGTAGAAGGTACTGGTGAGGCACTGCGGGGTTCCGGTTGGTAGAGAGTTACTGCGTTTGGTTGTGAATCAGGACTTGGGTTGCTGCCAGTCGAAGTGGTTGGTTGCAGAGTACTGGGAGAACTATCAGACGAAGCGGTGGAACGTGACAGCCGAAAGGATTGAAGCGTACTATGTAATGAAATAGTACCCGAAGGCTTCTTGGCATCGCCCGAACCCTCAGTCTGTTGCTGCTGCGGTGTAATCAAATTTGCATTCCCTCCTGCTTTCTCATTTCGCTCTCTTTTCACCCAGGAGAAAGGCCTGGCAAATCTGAAGGATATCCAGTAGTTTAAGCTAGGTTCTGAGTAACGGCGAGCAATCTTCTTCATGAGTTTCTGAGGCTTTTTGGGGTATCTTGATGAAAGTTCGGCGTGTGGTACAGCAGATTTGGTTTGAGGATTTTGACGCGACCAGGTCTGAAGGAACGCAGGCGGACACCAGTGTCCACATGTAGCCATGGCAAGCATATAGGGATCTAGGAGGAGGTCTGACTCTTCTGAAGAGGCTTTTAACGTGGAATATGGAGAGGATTGTAGGGTCTCCCGACCTGTAAGTTGAGATTCAACGCTTTGAGAAGAGTACAGCGACGTAATAATGTGCCAATTAGCCTCATTTTCCTCAACGGAATGGGATGTGCTGTTGGTTTGCCTTCTTGTGACGGGATTGGAAGCAGACCTTTGGTACAAGTACCTGTTCATTTCTTCATTGTCTTCTAATCTGGAGTGAGTTGGCAGCAAGCAATGCTCACTGACGACTTGAATGTCCTGTCTGGGCCTATCAGTCGTATATCTATGCCACTCTCTCAAAAGCTCTCTTCTTGGGGTTTTCTTACGTTGAATTTCTCTGCTTCCCACTCAGCTTCTTCATCAGCCCAATGCAACCGAATTTTCTGTTGTGTCATGTGAGACATTATGCTCGCTTGATCACTAATATCCATCTCCTTTGCCTCCGTCTCATATAGTCCCCGCGTTGACCTTTTAATCGATTCCTGCTCCCAAACTTCCTCAAAAGTCGGCCTTGGCCCATCGCCCATCATATCGCCGTATACCATCTGGGTCCTGCGCCGTCTCTTCTTTATCGCTTCCTCCATTCTCTCTGTAGCGGCAAGATACTTTTCATCATCTTGAGAGTGCAAAGAGACTTGCCAGCCCCAGTTCTGAAGGTCCTTGATTTTAGAGAGCTCGGAAGGGGTGGGATCAGCAAGCGTATAGGTAAGGGGCTGATTGCACGTGTAGATGGAGTGCGCTGGTGGCTGGATCAGGTATGGCATCTTTTGTGCGAGTTGTATACTGTGGATGATAGACAAGGAGTCAGGAGGCTTTGTAGGCGGGGGAATATATTCATTGTCGAAAAGTTTGCTCTCGCTGTCAATGGAATCGTATACTTCACGTTGATCATTCTCACACAAAAGACGCGTCGTTACAATAAGGCCAGCTCCTTGAAGAGGTAGGAGGGCCAAGAAATGTTGCCATTGCATAAATCTATTGGGTATCATATGCCGGCATCGCCAGCGCGATACCACGTCATAACTGGTCGTTGTCTTTCATCGTACTCGCTTATTCCAGTCTTCTTTGGCAAAATAGCCAATTTTCGAGCGTTTTCAGGTGAGCTTTTCATGCGCATGATACCTTGCGACATGAATGTCCCAATCTCGAGACGTGCTGCGCCGGTTGCGGCGTACGCGTGAAGGTTGCGGAGTCACAGATTCGCCTTCTACGAAGTTCCTATGATTGATGTGAGTACCTTCCACAAGACTATATGCCCATTGTGCGCTTGCAGTAGAATAGTTGCTCTGGTGTGGGATGTAGGCTATGCTCAGGGAGGGCTCAAAACCATATCTTGATCAACTCCTCTGAAACGGCAGACGGGGTGAGGACGCCAGACTCAGTAATGATACCAGATATCAGATCAGGTGGCTAGTTTATGTTAGCAAAACGTACTTCAAGCAGAGTGGACAGAACGAACCGTGAAGTCGACAGCGTCATGAGCGTCGAGTGGAGCGACTGTTGACCCCTTGGTAGCCATGTCTGCGATGGCTTCGTCGAAGACGTTCCGTTGCTCTTCGTCACTCTTCGCCTTTTGTTCTTCCTTGGGTTCCTCTGCGACCTTGAAGTCTAGCACCTTCTGCTCGATGGGCAAATCAAACTGGCTGAGGGGATATAGCCTGACAAACTTGTGGCTCTCGGCAACCACGTAGAAGGGCTTTCCTTTGCTCTTGGCTAGTACGCCCAACTGATATGTGCCCATGCGCGAAATGATACCGCCGTTCTCTACGACACCTTCGGCTCCTACAATAACCATATCGACTTTGCCGAGGGAGTAGGCGACGGCTGAGTCTGGGATCGTGGCTACTGGAACGTTGTGGTCTCGGAGGTCGGCGACGGTCTGAAGGCCCTCTTTCGCGTCCGACGAGCTTGATGAAGGGAGGACGTATATGACCTTGAAGCGGAGAGTGCTTGACTCGGCTGCCCTTCTCAGTAGCGCGCCCACTACTCGCGAACCACCATTTGTGAGCACTGTGCCGCCGTCGCGGATAAAGTGCTTGCCGAAGCTCGCTATCTTCTCCCTGCTCTGTTTTGCACGGTCTACGAAGAGCTTGCCGTTGGAGAGTAGGTGGTTCCGTATCGCGCGGAAGTCGTCGTCTGGGCCCAGGTTCAGGCTTGCGGGGCGGTTAAGCGTTGTGATCAGATAGCGCTGGAAGAGATCTGTGCCGGCGGAAAGGGAGATGGGGTTCGCGATTGAAGCCTTCAGGGCAGCTGTGTGCCGTTCGAGTAGGTCGAGTGTCTCGGCGACGGTCGAGACGGAGCTCTGTGCAATGGCTTCTACGAGCGCCTCGATGGCCGCCACGGGCATAGTAAGCTCCGGGTCATCTTTAAGAATGCGGCGATATGTCGCGACTATGTCAAAAGTCGGCTGTGTCTTGACTCCCGATTCGGTGCTCATCTTGACGGTTGATTGCGACGTGTTAGTGCTCCGTCAACTTTTGGATATTTTGGAGGGGTGGTTCGCGATTGAGTCATTCGCCAAGACCATGATCGGACGGCTAGCCTCGTCATTGTCCTCCCAGTCCTACACTCTCCAGTGCGCCAAACTATTTGCGGCAGTGACCATGGAGCTCAATAGTCGCCAAACCTCCACTTAGACCTGGCACGACTATCATCTTCCACAATCTACTTCACTCAATTGTTGTGAAGAATGTCGTCGTTGGACCGCACCCACTCCTTTATCATGGTCACAGTCTGCCATGCGCGATAGGCTGACCAGACACACTTACTGTCCGTTGTGATTGCACAGAATTACTTGAAACTCATACTCACTGAAAGCTAACACGTAAATTGCAACCTTCTTACCAATCCTGATCACTACCTAGGTGCTCGTACCCTTTCACTATAGAAAGCCCATCACCGCTAGTCTGCAATCACTCACTAGCAGGCAAAAGAGTGCAAATTTCCTACTTACATACCTACCGAAACCTAGTAGGAAAACTACCACTGCAACCAAAGAACACGATGCCGTACATCATCTACGTGCCTGGCGTTCCCCAACCATACATCACCAACGATCCGAGAATCTACATCGACTGTCTAAAACTACTCAAGTGGGAGTGCGAATCACGGCCATTCCACGATGCATTCTGCAAGGAGCTCCGGGCAGATGAGGATGAGCAATCCTTGGCTGACAGGCGTCGTGATCAACTTGAGGCCTTCTGGGTTGAGGCACTTCAGCGGCAAACAAACCTGAGGGACGGATCTGACCGCCCGGATGAAAACACAGGCACACTGATTGAGAAGACAGTCGAAAGTTCGGCAGCGCATGACTTGACCAAAACGTATTGTCTGATATCAAGAAGCGTGGGGAAGGTGAGTTCTAGCAGATACTAGTACCACCCCATGAGCACTTCCTTCATCATTGAGTCTTTTGTATAGGCAGCTACGAAGCCATAGATGGTCGGATGTGATTGCTATGGTACAACCATTGGATACCACCCATGGTAAGCTCTTACCTTCTCTTTCTCTGGGCTTGCTAAGTTAAACAGTAGATGAAATCTATCATTCTTATTTCTGTACACCAACAACACAGTTCACAAGTAATTCGCCATATCATTCATAAATTTTTTAGCCTGAACACACTTGTATCAATATTCACCCCTCTCTTTACCACGAAGCTACTACAGCTCGCCATCACACTACTCCGAAAATGCCTGGCCTCTCGAACACAGTCGACGAGCCGAGGCCAGGAATATACTGTAACAACTGTAATGCTATCATTCGAAAACCAGATGCTCCTGCGGTGCCATCCAGTGAGAGGGTCGTTGTAGTTGAGGAAGGCCCGTATACAGTAACGGCAACTGACGATGCAACACCACCGCCTCTGATATCCCTCGATGCAAACGACCCATCTTCTGCCCCCGATACTACTGCAATCCCTTCTATCACGCCATCGCATCCGACTGCGCAAGCATGGAAGTCACCCAAGAACTTTACAGTTACAGTACCATTGTCGTTCATTTGCCTGTCGAGGCATTCTACCGCAACTTCCCGACAGATGCATCAGGAAGACGAAGAAGAATAATTATGACGAACTTGACCTACGATGTGACAGTCGAGCTGCCAGAGACCCGAATACCTTCAGAAGACAATCCATTACCAACGTCATATGCGCGACCCGTCAATCCGTGGTCTTCCACTACCGGACAGTGTCGATCGACGGTCATTGATGAACCCGAGTCTCTCCCACGCTCCAAAGCAGGCCATTATGAACACGCTCCGGATGCTCCCCAGTCTTCCGAGCAGCCTGACATGAACTTTCCTGGCACAGGCATCGATGAGATCACGCCTTTGTCTGACAAACAGCTCGGCATGAACGCTTCTGACAGAGCTGGAGACGGACGAGTTCTTCGCTCTGATTCTGCGCAAAACACGCCGCAGCTGATAAAGCGCCCTTCAGAGGAAGAAGTCATTGGACACAACTGGATCAAGTTTCATGATGAAGGACAGTCGTATGTATCGCTCAGTGACAACCCGCCCCAGATGACGACAATGCAGGAACGCCATGCGCCGCGAGACTCGAGATGGGTCGCTTTGCGAAACAAACTGCGTGATACTGGAGAACACATTGGAGAGAAGCTTAAGGGATCTGGGGATTACGAAAGCAACAAGTTGAAAAAGGAAAACGACCCCAGGAAACAGGGAGAAGGCCGAGCGAGAAGGGCGTTTAATTTCTAAAATTGTCATCAAGGTCCATAATGTATCGTGCGAATAGGGCCAAACGTCCGCTTACGACATGTTCACTCATGAAAGGCCCGCGCGTTTCCGCGTTCTGCCGCATACGAAAGAGCTCGTTTTTTCTCTGTTGTATCTGATCACACAATGTGCCCGAAAGGTATGCGCTGTCTTTTACGTGCACATTATATACAAGATGACGGAGTATAGGCTATTGAAGTATACTCCAGGCCTTGGGTACAACTCAATATAACCGAGCTCCTTCATTTCATCAGGAACGACAATCTGCTTCTTTGTTTGCAGGCTAACTTGTTGAATCGGAGTAACCGGAAATTATCTCGGCATGCTTTCATATGAAGTACTACCTAAACAAAGCTGATACAGTGGCACTGAATTATCTATCGCGACACCTGCTGCAGTCGCAATCAGCGATGACGCACCTTGCATGGTACCAGCGGATGCGCCCGTGGATCCACAGCGCCTAACGTCATCTTCATGCGCCGAAGTTTTCAGAGACCCTGAAGCAATCTGCAGCGGGCACGCGACCTCTTACCCGAATGAGCGTCATGAAAATAAGAAAGAAGGTCCGAACCATCACGTTTTCAGACATACAGTTATCCACTGGCTCAAATGCCCTATATGAAAGCCAACTTTAAACAATTCTCTCCAGCATAGCTAAGCGCATATTGAGTCCTACCACGATTCACGACTCGGCCATCATCAGGAAAATGACCATACTGTCGGACATCGCCTCAACCGTCAAAAACACACGACTCGTTCCACCAACCGAAGATGAAATCGCATCAGCAAAGAAGGCAAATCAAGACTCGGAAGCTTCTCAAAGTCGACCAATTCTCGAAATCACATCCTACGACCGCTTCACACCACCATCTCCTAAACCAGATCTAGAATATGATTGCCGTATGACCCAGAACCCGTCCCCTCAAATGCGGAAAACATGCACAGGACTCGACTCCACGCTCCAAGACGAGCTTATGAGCCGCGAATCATTCAGCGACATTGTGACCCGCGCTGAGGACGATATTCGGCGGCTCATGGAGATTAAGGATGTACGAGCTAGTAGGGAGGGTGAGAAAGCGGTAGTACGAGTAGGATGTTTGTGTGGGAGTGGGCATCACAGGAGTGTGGCATTTGCAGAGCAGTTGGGTAAGATACGGTGGAGTGAGGATGACGGGTGGGAGGTTAGAGTTGTGCATAGGGATTTGACAGAAGGAGTGGAGGAGATGAAGAAAGCCAGGAGTAAGGAGATCGGAAAGAAAAAGATGGAGAAGGATGGAGAGGAAGATGAAAAGTGAGAGCTGTAAGAACTTAATGCTGGTTTGAGGATGAAGAAAATGGAATGACACTCAACCTAATAGCAACCACGGGTGTCTAGTCAAAGGCGCTACATCATATACTGCAGTCTTCTCAGGCGAACTCTTCTTCGCATCCATACCACCGCCACCTCTCAGGTTGCCCGACTTGAAATCTCCCTCCTCTTCTGTCCCACCCATCTCTGTGGGAGGATCCGCAAAAGGATCGTCAGGCAGATCCTCAGACATCCCCACAATCTGATCGTCCGCCAACCTCCATCTCCTCTCTTCTTCCTTGCCCGACTCCTCCTTTCTCAATCGCTGCTCATCAGAACAGACCGTTACGCCATATTTTCCAAGATATGTTCCCGCCTTCTTTACCCCATGCACGAATCTTCCTTTCTTACCCTTCTCGCTCGCCTCCTTCTCCTTACGTTCCATATCCGCCCACCCAATCTTCAGTCCGTGTTCCCGCTGCCAGATTCTCCAGATGTCTTTATCCCAGGTATTCTTCTTCGCTGCTTTGTCATACTTCTTGAACCACTTTTTCATGTTGGGAGCAGAGGGATCGGTATTAAATACGCGCCAACCCCAGTCTGTGACGTCTTTGGCGATGGCTGCGTTACGGGTTGTGAGGGTTTCTGTCGAGGCGGGAGTGAGGACTATGTAGCGTGCTGTCGTGGTGGGGCGCTCATCCCGGGACTTTGGGTAAATGAAGACATAGGACTCGGTTTGGTAGTAGGTTGGGATGGCGACTATAGTCACCGTTGTTGTTGTTTGTGGAGGCATGGTTGTTGAGGTCGCTGAACAAGACTGTGGAGTCCTGGTTTGATAGTGCTGTGATATAGTTCCTTGAGAGGAAGCAGTGAATGATGCTTATTGCTGATTGAGACCTTACGCTGTGAGGTAGCTCTTCTCATAATTCAGAGCATTCACATCAGCCACCCAAGCGGGTGAGTGTAACTTTAACACTGGATGAATTTTCCATTGATGTACAATTCGAAGATTTGTTGCACGAATGTGAATTCACAAGGTTTTTACAGGATTGCCAACATTCATTTGCAACTATCCCACGACTTGCCCTATTCAAACCACTTACGGACCTTCACAAATACAAGTTCAGATCTCACCATTACCACTCATGCAATACATTCTGCGCGCACCCCGAAGCAGCATCGTCTTCTCCACCATCGACAGTTCAATATCGCGCTTTCTGCGGCGCCAACACAAGTGGGCCGGCTTCAAAACCGAGCGCGACACGCTGCCGGAGTACATCAGCGAATCGTGTATACGAGAGCTTGATGACGGAGAAGTTGAGATTGACGATGAAGCCCTGAATGGCAATCGCCTGTCCGAAGAGATAAGGTCTTTGCTTATACGAGATGGTTTCCTAGAGCCAGATTTCCGCTTTGTTGGGCGCTTGGTACACCCTAGAATTATGGATACCGCGCGCAGTAATCGAGAATCTACTAAAGCGAGAGTTGAAAGTTGGGATGAAGATGGCTTGGATAGACGTAAAAACTTACTCTAAAAGTATACACCGTGACTTATCCATTGGCATGGCAACGTAAACCACCATGTATACCCTTAGGGCAGATTTTTAGCAATGAGCACAACTCAGAAAAAAAGTTTCATGTGCCATAGAAATGTGATCGTGATTCATATGCCTCCATTGGACGCGAGTCATACAAATATAAATTCTATCAACTTTTGTTCTTTCATGAAAAGGTGGCCTGAAGGTAGTCATAGAGTCTGGGTATCGCAGGAATGGGAAGGAAACGAGATGTAGTTGACAGGTCTAGATGGCCCACCCGGCTTTCTTCTTGGCAGCCTTCGTGGTCATGGTGGGCTCGGATGGTGGAGGCGGCTTAATGTCCTTGAGGTCTGGTAGTGGGTCGTTGTCTCGAATCTCGAGTATGGTCATCTGTGAGGCAAGAGTAGGTTGTTCGTCGCCTACAGGGCCACCTTGGAGGGAGACGCCGCCGTCTTCCTCTTGACTAAATTCGTCCTCCTCGCCGCCTTCATCGTCATCGTCGCCGTCAACCTCTTCTCCCTCTACTCCTGTGGCAATGTCTCCAGCATCACCATCGATGCCATGCTCCTTCATGTAAAGTTCCAGCTCTTTCGCCATCTTCTTGCTGAAGCCAGACGCTTGTACTTCGACGTCCAACCTCTTGACAAGCTTCTTGGTGGCATCCTTGAAGAACGGACCTGGCTCGTCGCTTTTGAAGCCGAATCGGCGATCGAAAAAGCGCTTTACGCAAGCGACATCGCGGTCAAAGTAGTATTCGGCATTGGCATGATCGATTGAGACCATTTGCGGGAAGTCAATAAGCGTGGGCACCAGTGACACGGTGTCGTCCTTTTCGGGTTTCTCTTCAATCATGATGTTGAACTCGTTGAAGTCACCGTGGATCAGACCATACTGCGCCAGACGAACGATGAGGGCGAGCAGTTCGGCGTAGAGTTCCTGCGGATCGCCAACTTTTGAGATTTGACGCAGAGGGAAACCGTCGATGAGGCTCATGATGACTGTATGTCTGTTCTGACCGACCGGCTCGGGCACTGGGAATCCTTCTGCTCGTAGAGCCTTCATGAACTCGAATTCCTTCAGGGCAGCGAGGCGCGACATGTACATCCACGACCCACCCTGGCGGTTGCGCAGATAGTCACGGTTCGCTTTGACGGTGCGGAAAGATATGCGGCCCAGACGGTGGATCTTGAGAACCAGCTGCTTGCCCGTCTCGTCGGCGCAGACAATGATATCCGACTCTTTTCCTATGCCGATCTGGTTGCCGACCGAGTAGACCGTCGACGCCTTCTGGTGGGTGTGCAGGGCAAGGTAGTCGAGCCCGCCGTATGTGAGCCGGTAGCCGTCATATTTGGCGTTTCGGACTTTGGCAATGAGGCCAATCTTTGCGAGGTTGGAAATGCACCTGTGGACGCCGGTGCCTGAGCGAAGGGCAGCGATCTGGGCAATCAAGGGGGTTGGTACGACTTCATGGTTGCGGCTGCCCATCTCTGTCTGTCATGGTCTTCATCAGCGTTAGTCCCCCACTACGTACGGAAAGACAGTGCGGGCGCATACCGCAGTGAGGACGCGCCAGTCGTCTGCGGCCAGATAGCGGATGTTCTTGACATTCAGCTTCATGGTGAGAGATTGTGCGACTCGGAAAGCCTTGCGGGTGCGGGTTGGGGAATACGCCGGGGTTTGGGTGCGACGACAATAATTTTTGGAGGTTTCTCGAAGGCCTGAGCGGCGGCGGCGGCGGCGCTCATCATCGGTGGACGGTGCTTGGCCCTAGCGCGGCGGAAGTGGTGTACGCGAAGCAAGAGCTGCCTCATCGACATCAATCCGCCATTATCACTCTCCCCACTTGACTTGCCTCTCGCTCTCCCGACCCATTTGAGCGGCCATCTACATCTCATAGCCCCCCCGGATTCCCCTTCACAGTCGCTATCCACGCCGCTCCGTCCCGACACACACTTCGCCGCTTGTCCTAGCTACATATCAACATGGCGAAGGAAGACGAGAAGAAGCCCACGGCCGCCGACAAGGGCAAGGGCAAGGCGCCGGCAAACAACGACGCGGACAAGAGCAAGGATGCAAAGCCAGATCTTGACGACAAGAAGGGCGGTGTTGCGACAACTGGCGGTATGTTTTGTCTTGGGCACAGCTGTAGTGGCTATCGTCATGGACATGCACTGACTGCGAACCACAGAGGAGCTTAGCGAGGAAGATCAACAGCTCAAGAGCGACCTGGACATGCTGGCAGAGCGGATACTGGTGAGCTGCTACCATGGAAGCTGCCCCTCGCAGCATGCGCTGACCTCATGTGTTTACTAGGGATCCGACACCAGCCTCTACAAGCCCGCGCTCGAACAGATCAAGGAATTCATCAAGACATCGACGAGTTCCATGACGGCCGTGCCCAAGCCGCTCAAGTTCCTCCGACCACACTACGAGGCCCTAGAGAAGGCCTACGCATCATGGCCCGCAGGCGAGAACAAGCGCTCGCTCGCCGACATGATGTCTGTTCTGGGAATGACGTATTCTGACGAGGACCGCCTGGACTGCCTCAAGTACCGTCTTGAGGCGCCCTCAACAGATCTCGGCTCCTGGGGCCACGAGTACATGCGCCACCTTGCGCTGGAAATTGGCACAGAGTACCAGAACCGCCTGAACGACGACAAGTCCACCGACGATGTCACCGACCTTGCCTCGAACCTCGTCCCCTTCTTCCTCAAGCACAACGCAGAGGCGGATGCCGTTGACATCCTGTCTGAGCTGGAGATGATTGATCAGATTGAGCAATACATTGACGAGAACACATACTCGAGAGTCGCTCTATACATGGTCAGGTAGGACATTGTCGCATTCGCCTACACGAGTGACACTGACATCAGCAGCAACGTACCCCTACTCACTTACCCGGACAACGACAAGTTCCTCCGCACTACCTACCGAATCTACGCCAAATACAAGCAGTACACACAGGCAATCGTCATCGCGATACGATTACACGAGACCGATCTCATCCACGAAGCCTTCAACGCTACCAAAGACAAGTCAATTCGAAGACAGATGGCCTACCTTTGCGGCCGACAGCGGATATGGCTCGACGTCTCCGAAGACGAAGACCCCGAGCTCCAGGAGTGCATCAACAACACGCGCCTGCCTGATCACTTCAAGGCGCTGGGCAAGGAGCTTAATATTCTCGACCCCAAGACCCCTGACGACATCTACAAGACACATCTTGAGAGCAGCAGGACTGCCGGACTCACCAACACCGACTCTGCCAGACACAACCTCGCCTCCGCCTTCGTCAACGCCTTTGTCAACACCGGTTATGCAAATGATAAGCTCATGCTTAACGAGAACACAAAGAGCAGCTGGGTCTGGAAGACCAAGGAAGAAGGCATGCTTTCAACAACCGCATCTTTGGGTATGCTCATGCTCTGGGACGTAGAAGAGGGTCTCGATAAGGTCGATCCCTACACACACGTTGAGGACGACATGGTCAAGGCCGGTGCCATGCTTGCTACCGGAATCTTCAACTCTGGTGTGCGCATGGACTCAGATCCCGCCATGGCCCTGCTTGGCGACGAGGACAATATCAACTCTAAGAACAAGAATATCCGCCTCGCTTCCATCATGGGTCTTGGTCTCGCCTATGCAGGGTCAAATAAGGAAGACCTTTTGGACATCCTATTGCCAATCGTCAGCGATACCAGCCTTGATATGCAGCTCTCTGCCATGGCAGCGCTGTCTCTCGGTATGATCTTTGTTGGTTCAGCCAACGGAGACGTCACAGATGCCTTGATGAACACACTCTTGGACGAGGACCGAACGAAGCAGCTCAAGGACAAGTGGACCCGATTCATGGCTCTTGGTCTTGCGCTACTTTTCTTCGGCCAGCAAGAAGAGGTTGACGTCATCTTGGAGACACTGAAGGCGCTCGACCATCCCATGGCCAAGTCAGCCTCTGTACTCACCGAAGTATGCGCGTGGGCAGGTACGGGTGCTGTGCTGAAGATTCAGCAACTGCTCCATATTTGCAATGAGCACATCGAGGACGAGAACGAGGAGAAGAAGGGTGACGAGCTACTACAGTCTTACGCTGTCATTGGTCTCTCACTAGTCGCCATGGGCGAGGATGTTGGCCAAGAAATGATCCTCCGCACACTCGGCCATCTGATGCACTATGGCGAGGCTAACATCCGCAAGGCTGTGCCTCTCGCTTTGGGTCTCATCAGCCCTAGCAACCCGCAGATGAAGGTTTACGACACTCTTTCGCGTTACTCTCACGACAACGACAATGATGTCGCCATCAACGCCATCTTCGCCATGGGTCTCTGCGGTGCTGGTACCAACAACGCCCGTCTCGCACAACTGCTCCGCCAATTGGCCAGCTACTACCACCGTGACCCCAACGCTCTCTTCATGGTACGCATAGCACAAGGTCTGCTACACGCAGGAAAGGGCACACTATCCCTCAACCCGTTCCATACCGACCGTCAGGTATTGTCTCGCGTAGCGGCTTCGGGTCTTCTCACTGTTCTTGTTTCCCTGATCGATGCCAAGTCATTCGTTGCTGGTGACTCACATTACCTTCTCTACTACCTCGCTACCGCCATGTCACCGCGCTTCCTCATCACGCTCGACGAGGACCTCAAGCCATTGACGGTCAACGTCCGCGTTGGTCAGGCTGTCGATATTGTTGGCCAGGCTGGTAGGCCAAAGACCATCACCGGATGGCAAACACAGAGCACGCCGGTACTGCTGGCGCACGGCGAGCGAGCCGAATTGGAAGACGAGAAGTACCTTAGCCTCACCAACGTACTGGAGGGCGTGGTCATTCTGCGAAAGGTATGATATTCCAACTCATTGTGATCTTACTAGCCAGACTAACATGATTTGTAGAACCCAGAGTGGGAGGACTGAAGGACTCCGGTGAGAGGCGGAAAGAAGGAAGAGATGTCTAGGACATCGCGCAGGGCATATAGAGGGTCTGCACCAAGCATTTTGGCATTCTAATAGCATTACGGTCCCTGCCTCACCCCTCGCACTGACACAACGACAAGTCCGAGGGGCACACCGTTGTATATATAGATGTGCAAGAGCAATGAACTGAAATGAAAGTATTGACACAAATGCTCCTTTCAGCGAAGTCTAGCGTGAATATAAATGCGACAGTGACCAAGGTCAAGCTACAATTACCACAGAAGCACGCGATGCCCTTTCACTACACCCAGATTGGGTGCCAAGATATTACAAGGTTCTTTCGTCGTCTCATGTTGACACGGTGAAGACTCAATGCGAATCTGATGTGGAGTTGAACGGAACGAGTCGTTGGCACCTGGGCGGGAAGAGGCTTTGGAGATGTCAGAGGGAACAACTATTGAAGAGCAAACACCAGCACAAATCTGAGCTGGAAGAAGATCTATTATACGACGAACTATCGAGACTACGACAAATCCGACCATAGCCCTAGCCACCGCTGATGAAACCTGCCCTTGCCATCGATGAGAAAGAGATACATTGAATGACCCACTAAGATCCTTTTGGTTTGCTGGCTTGCCCAGATGCTAATAAATACTTCTAAAATGTGAAAGAAGCAACTGAAATATATTAGTTGAAAGGAAAACGCGAGACTGGACTGCCGATGAGAAGGATACGTTCGAGGTGCTGGCGCCAAGAGCAAAGTATTAGGGGCCCAACGATGTGGGCATGGAAGTCAGAACAAGCGACAGAAAGGAACGACGAAAGCGTCGTGTCGTGGCATGTTGATATAGCGTGGCCTTCGTAGAGTATACTTGTGGTATAGGATCGATGCCAAAAGGAGTCTCCAAGGAAATGTGACTGGAGGATGGTGAAGAAGCGATCATGAAGAATAGTGCGTACACGAAAGGTATATCGATGGTCGACCCGGAAGAGGCGGTGCATGCTTAGTTGGTGGGGCTCGGTGAAGCAGACGTATCGGCCTTCACAGGAGTGGCAGGGTTGGTCTTGACATCAACACCGTTGTCAGAAACACCATCGTCGCTCTTGATGGGTCCGCCCTGAGGCATATAGTAAGATCGGGCTGGGCCAAGGGTCGATGGCACTGGTGGTGACCATGGCTGGCGCTGGCCACGCATGAACATCTCGAACTCGTTGGCATGACCTGCAGGTATCGGAGAGACGGAGAGGTAGCGTTCGGGCGTGCCCAGTGCCCTAGCCTGGGCAACACCGACCTCGTACTCCGCAGCACGGAAGACACGGCCAGCTGCGGTCTGCTGCTTCAACATCTTCTGCTCGTGTGTATCGGAAAAGCGGATCTGAATGAGGTGCTCTTCGCCGCCGGGCTTAGACACAGGAGTGTTGTTGAACTCTTTGATGACCTCGTCGCAGATATCGCGAGATTCAAAGCTATAGACCGTTAACGACGTTCAGATTGGTAGCACACGGGTGAACTACCGAGCAAAACCGACACCACGGCCGGTACCGGAAGAGTCACGAAGTATCCTGCTCGAGCAGACCTTGTGAGGTGCGAAGATGGAGGCGAGCTCATGTTCGTTCATGTTTTTGGGGATGTTGGATACGTAAAGATTGGTGTTACACTCGTCGGCGAACTTCTTGAGTTTGGAGTAGAATGATTCCTAGAGAGCGTCAGTGAAGTTCATTGCATATGAGCGTAAGGAAACATACCCGAGCAAAGCTGACTTCGTATCCGAGGTAGTGGAAGCCGCGGATACAGTCCTCAGCGTCTTCGAAGTTATGGTACTTGATGAATCCGAAGCTGCGAAGGATAGTCAGTCATTGGGGCGATGGGATGCTTGGGGAACTGCTTACCCCTTGCAAAGGTTGGTCTTCAGGTCGATGATGGACTTGGAGCTCTGGATGTCTCCGAAACGCTTGCCCCATAAGTGAAGCATCTCGTCAGTGGTCTCGGGCAACAGGCCTCGGATGTAAACGTTGGTCTCACCAGTCTTGTTCTCCAGGCTACGGTCGAGTGGCTTGTGCGGGGAGCTAGGAGCGGGAATGGCCCGAGGAATGGGGGGCTCCTGGTGCACTAATGCCAGTAGATTGGGAGGCAATGTGGGCATGGTCTGCTGCTTCGGGGTGGGCGCCATGACCTGGTAGGGGTGGACCAGCTGTGATGGCGAAGGAGTGGCACTGCTGGAGTAGAGGGCATTCGGCGAGCGATCCATAATAGCCGTGTTGTTGCCAAAGCGGTGATACATACCACCACTGCCGTAAGGTGTGCCTGGGTTGTCATTCTCGTTGGAGGAGATAGAGTCACGACGCGGTGTCATAAGCGACGGCATCTCGGCGGAGGACATTCGAGCAGCCCATGCCGGTGGTATAGCGCTGTTATCGATGACAGCTTGGCCATATTGGTAAGCTGCCTGCGGAACGTACGCACCGGTGTGGTTGTACATGCTAGGAGAAGCCGCCATGGCAGTCTGCTGCTGAGCACCAGGCATCATCTGATACATGGATCCGAGAACCTGCTGGTTGGGAACCCAGAGTCCTTGACCATTAGAAAGAGGAATGTTGCCATAGTCGGATGAACCCCCTGAAAGTGCAGAGCTAGCAGACTTGGAGGTAGCGGACGAACCGTAGGATGCGTGCATGTTGAGAGCTGCCAAGTTGCTCGTCAGACCTTGCATACCATTATCACCGTGGGGGGACATAGGCAGACCTCGAGGGAGGTATTGAGCGCTCCCGTGACCTTGTCCGTGCTGGTTGTAGTTGTTGAGAATGTGTTGTCCCTTGTATCCCGCGTTGGGAGGCGCGTAGCTCTGCTGGCGACCGTTGGTAGACATTGTAGCGAGCTCTGAAGTGACGCTGACCGAAGGAAGAGTGAAAGACCGATGAGGTCTCCGGGGCTGGAATCTGAGGCTACGAGCAGGGGCAGGTAGACTGAAGGATGCAAGCCTGAGGACGACTGCGACGAAGGATCTCAACAACGAGCTTGGCAGACAGACTGAGATGCAGAGAAGAACGTTGCTCTGCTCGAAAGATTAGCTTTTATCCATTATGGGGAGGCTGGGGTTCGGCCTAGCAAGTTTGCTCGGTGATCGATGAGGACGAGCAAAGCAGGCCTCGCCAGCCAATGTGGGGGAGGAGCTCACTAGGTCTGGCGGTGGCAGAGCGGGGCATGAGGCAGAAAAATGGGATGGTGAAAGTGAAAGGGACTTACTGGGCCGTAAATGTCAAACTTGTGCAATGTGCGGGACTGGTAGTGACTCCAAAGCTGCCGAGACGTCAGTATCGGAATGCTGCATGACAGTGAGAGATAGGTTGAGACGGAGACTGACTGACCTGGGAAAAGCTACAAAGAATGTGGCCACTGATGCGTATTGGTGAGAAAGAAGTGAAGAAGAGTGAAGAAGAGACGAGGGACGATAGGATGAGGCGAGCTGTTGTACTCGATGATGGCGTCTAGGCGTAGCAGATGGGGAAAGAGCAGTCGCGATGTCTCGGTGGAAGACCACCGGCGGACTGTAACCGGCAGCCTCAATCTCGACAAAGGGAAGTTGCGAAGAGGAAATGTGACAACACAGGAAACACTCACATTCTTAGTGAATTCACTCCGAGCAAGAATGGACGGATGAGAACATGCAACACTCGCACCCTGCGTATCGTGGCTTCTCTGTCTGGCTGTCGCGCCGCGGCAGTCTCTGAGTAATATTGTTGAAAGAGCTGTTAGATAGTGATGTCAAACCTGGCTTTCGAGCGAAGCTGTGGTGCTGTCCTACTCACCGTGGTGCAAAACGTGTTGCTCTTATATATCCGCTACAATCAAGCACGCACAGTGTTGAATGCGCGTACCAGGAACACGGTATCGCGAGCGCTGCAAGCATAACGAGTCGCATCAGTGGTGCACTCCTCGCACATGCATCTTTGCAGCCATGCCTTTCTTGGACCGGTGTGCGTAGCATACAAATGACAAGGCGTCAACTGGTACGTGTCGAGTCTAACTTCCACTTAAGTAGCCAGCTTCTCACTGTGGCAATGGCTGATGCAGCCATGTCGCCCTTGCAGCAGGGCTGAACAGTCTCGTAACATGACGTCGAAAAGAAGGTATGTCATCGTTTGTTGAGTTGCGGACAGTATCCACGCACGTCGAATTGAACAGACGCGATGACTTTGGCGCGCAGGCTCTCGTTATGAAAACTAGACCTGTCGTTTCCTCACCTCCACGCATTGATCAGCATGCGGGTACACGCAACAGCCCTTCCCAGACCTCGAGACATGCCCAGGTTCTGTTTGAAGACCATCCAGTCTATTTGGCGCTTAGTGTGGCTACACAAACAGGGTGACTCTCTTACAATGCTTTACAGCAAAACTGCCGCCATCCCATCACAGACCTGTAATAGCTTGACGGGGCGGCGCACCTGTTGCACGCCCGTAACCTGCGCGACGAGCCGGCGCAGTGCAGCCGTTGCCGATTGTAAAGCTTCGAGTCGCGGTCTCGAGACGGATATGGAAAAGTCCAGCTGATGTCATTGGAGATGCGCCGCCGTCCGAGAATTTCTTGATGTGCAAGGCGATAAAATCTGCATTCTCGAGGCTATTGATAGGGCACATGAATATCTGCACCAAGACGCAGATGCAAGGAGTATATCCGACGCCTGTGGCCCGACCAACCTCGCCGCTCATACAAGACAAGCGCAACGAAGATAGCCATGTGCGATGAACCTTTCCGAGTATACTTAAAGATAGTATGAGTTATGGATAGGTGTCGAACAAGCTGGCAGCCCTGTACCTAGTGAGAGACAAGGTACTAACCTGCATCGTGTACGAGATCCTCAGGTGCTCCACCAAAGACCTGATGGCGCTGGAGTGATACAGACTCACGAATGGAACATGTCCCGCTTCCTCGCGTGTTGCGTGGGCGCAAGCGCACTGATTACCGTGTCGCATATGTTGCAAAACAACTATCCGGCCGGTTGTCCGGCTCTTGATGCGGCTGTTGTAGGTCTCGTGGCAGTGTAGCGACAGAGGAGAGTTAGAGAACATCTACTCGTGCCTAGACTCAGCAAGTGAAGGACACCTCCAAGGGTCCATGTCGGGTGGCGTTCTGGTACACAATTATTCGTCGATTGCTCCATAAATGCCTGCCTGTAAGGTCCTTTTAGGATCTGTGCATGCTGTGCGCGCGGAGAAGCATGCAGTTTGTCTACATGCATGTCTCTCCAAATTCTGCGTTTTGTACTGAGCTGCTTGACAAATGTTTCGTTGCGAATGTTCCAACGTGACCCGGCTTGACCTCAAACCTGGAATTCATATCTTCCTGCTACCATGATCGCAGAAAGAGACATACTACGCAGATCGGCTCTTTCTAGTCGCATCCGCGAGGTGACACAGAAAGCAGATGAGGGACAGCCCGGCCTCATATAAGCCTCGCTAAAGTTCATGGCGTTTCGAAGCACTGCGTTCTTCCGGGTTTCGAGCCAATGCCCCGCATGCTCAGGTTGCGGCGGTGAGTGACTGGTGTGGTCATCCTACCGTAAAGCTTTTCAGCATGCGATGCGCAACCAGGTCAATACAGAAGACGACACTTAGCCGGAACTGCTGTGCAAACCATTACCGTACGCATGATGTCAGTGCCCTGTACAAAGAGATGTGCCTGCACCTCTGAGCAATGAAGTTTTGCCACGCAGCGGTCCAGACAGGCAACCTAGACATTGGGGGCTGTAACCTGAGCTTGTGATCGTAAAGACTCTTCATCAGTTATCGCGGCGCAGTCATGAGCCAGGAACGGCAGATGTCGATATTAGTCCGAAGCTGTCGATATGCACGCAAGGCTGATGTTCATCGAAGAGACGAGGTTTATGGGACGCGATCGACGCGGCAGGCACCGCGTGCGCTTGCGCCAATCATGGCATGGACCCTGGACTAGCGCACGTTTTACCTACCACAACAGGGCCTCACAGCATTAGGTCGCGCATCGCTCAACATCTTTCTGATACCCATCAGAGTCACCTGAGTAAGAAGCAAATCTTGAGGTATTAATGTTTTTGTTATTCATCAAATCAACTTGTCTACGTCGCAGGCTATACAGAGTAGTGAGCGGTTAGATATCCGCACATGGTCATCCAGGCCTCAGATACAGAGCCAGTATATTCCAACACGAAATGCGGTCGTCAGATCGAACGCCGTCGCTCACACCATTCTACCCATGAAAATGCATGCTCAAAAATCTCGTTCCGAACTCCTCTCAGTGGTTCCTAGCTCATGACCAGACGTCCTCTTGATATTGATTTGACGCCCTCATGGCTTTTACAATCTCCTCGCCCTTTGTCTCCGAAACGTTCCTGTACTTGGAGATGATCTTTCCAAGAAGAGTGTTGACCTCGCGGGCCATGTGTGCGGCGTCACCGCAAACGTAGAAGTAGGCCTTTTGCTCGAGCAGCTTGTTCACTTCCTCGCCAGCTTCCTCGAGCTTGTTCTGTACGTAAACCTTCTTGGGACCATCTCGCGAAAAGGCGGTGTACATCTCGAACTTATCACCCAAGTCTGCTTGGTATTGCTGCGTATCTTGTTAGTCTCAACTTGGTGGTGGTTGTGGCACTTGACAACTTACCTTCCATTCATCCGCGTACATGAAGTCCTCTGATTGCTTTCTGCACCCGAAAAAGAGGATAGTCTTTCCAACATTCTGGCCAGCCTTCGCTTGTGCAGCTCGTTCTTGAATGAATCCACGGAATGGTGCGACACCAGTACCGGGTCCGACCATGATAATGGGCTTGGAGGGGTCCGAAGGCAACTTGAAGTTGGAGTGGCGGACATGGACTGGAACGTGAATACCATCGTATTTGTTACGAGGACCGGTGATAGAGTAATTCAGGCCATGAGGATCGGGGTTGGGGTCTCCGTGTTGCTTCTGCTTCAAGGCCAAGAGGTAGTTGGTAGTGACACCCTTCAGAGCGTATGGCGCACCGGGCTTTTCGATGGACTCGACAATAGCAGTGATGGAGATCTTGTCCTTCTGTACCAGAGACGACGAGGAGATGGAGTAGTAACGAGGCTGGATCTTGACCATGGTTTCGAAGAGGAAAGAAAAGGGAATCTTGTCCCATGTCACACCCTTGCCAGTGATTTCGAGAAGCTGTGCCAGGTTGAGGTTACGGTCGGTAACGTGTTCCTTGAAGTAGTCCTTGTCGCTACCTAGTTTCACGATTTCAGCCTTGATATCGTCGTTTGGCGCAAACTGGGCAATGACGGAGACGAGTTGACGGGACACAGCAGCATTGATCTCGATGTGGAAGCGAACAGCAGCATCGTATGTGGTCGGTGACGGGAAGGGAACCTTGGCGGTGGGGTCGAGGCCTCTGACTGCAATGACGGTGTGTCGCTGGTCTTCCTTGCCAAGAACCTTGAATAGCCTATCGACTTCCTTGCCAGCGTTGTTGGGCCAGATGGCAATGTGGTCACCGGTAGTGTATGACAGGTTGGATCCAGCAATGCTGATTTCCATGTGTAGGCAGTTTCGGTTGGCAGAGTTGAACAGTTCGGCGGACTCGACGATGGGCGCAATGAAGGGATTGTTAGCGTTGAATGGGCCCTTTTGGTTGCCCTCAAGATGGTTTTTGTTGGGCTCACCAAGGTAAACAGTGTCGTCTTCGGGAGTAAGATCTGGCCTTTCGGTGACCTCGAAGACGGGCTCGTACATAGCCTCACGCTCCTCCAGACCCATCTTTTCGGCAACAGCAGCCCACATGGGCTCCTTCCAGGCGAGGAAGTCCTCTTCCATGGTACCAGCACCGTCGTCACCCTCACCGGCAGCACCCAATCTGGTGGCACCGAGGTTTGTCAGGTACTTGTCGACGTTGCGGACCATGGAGTTGTAGTGTTCGTAGGTGTTGTTTCCGAGACCAAATGCGACGTAGTTGAGTTTGCTGAGGGGCTTGTCGTCGGCGCTGCCACCCTCAGAGAAGCTGACATCTTCGGAGCCAATAAATTCGTAGAACTCGACAGCGTTATCTGTGGGTTCGCCCTCGCCATAGGTGGCCAAGACGAAGACGGCGAGCTTGTCTTCGGGAAAGGTGTCCAGGTTGTCGAAATCGTACTCCTCCAGGTCTGCCACCATAGTCTTGAGGCCGAAGCGTGAGTGACCCTCCTTGGATATACGCGAAGCATAGTCCTCAGCCGTACCCGTCTGGCTACCGTAGAAGACGACGCAGTTCTTGTCCGTCTCGTCCATCTTCTCTATTATGTTGCGCGACTTGCCAGCCTTTGCAGCGCCATTGGCCGTGGCCAGCGAGTTGCCGTAGGGGTCCCCATAGACGCCCCAGTAGGTGCCTTTGGTGAAGTAGGCTACCGTGCCGACCAGGAGGGCGGCCAGCACGATAATGTCCAAAGTATCGAGTTGTGCCATGGTGCTGTTCGGTGGTTAGCAGAGAGTCAGAGGCAGGTGGAGGGGCAGCGCTGACATGGACACAGTAGTTAGTTGCCGTCCGGAAAGGGATTGGAAACGACACGGTAATATTTGTATTCGGCTTCGCAACGGAGCGTCGGAATGGCAAGTGGGCCGTGCGTCTCAACTCAATCTTATCGAGACCTGGGGCCGGTGAGCCGCAAGCACGTTGTTGAGCCAGTACATAAACAAAGGCCTTTGTTTAGACTTCACAGATCCCTGACCGCTACACGGGCATGGCAAAAGTGGCCAAAAGTGGTGCCGTCACAGACTGTCAGATGCCCATCGGGTGCCGATGTGTTCCGCATTCATTCCGCTGGAGGCTACTTATGAGAGCCGGTGGAGGGTGCGAGACCCTGACTTTCCCGAGCGTCGCTGCCTTTCCGCTACGTCTACCAAGAACCCCGCCAGCACTTCGGGACCTTTGTGGGGCACATCGTTAGAGCCTAACACAATGGCTTCGTGCGAGGGCGGCAGATGCAGCTGCGGAGCCTCGAGAGGAGCAAAGTCAGGCCGGTGTTGAGGCAGATGCAGCAGCCATGCACAGTTGTCTCGGAAAGCTGGGCGGCATGTGATTGTCAGAACAAGATAGACCAGGTCGCAACAGAACATGACCAGGCCTCGGGATGGCGCAGGGCTGACGACGCATCCTGCTTGTAGCTGCGTATCTAGCAAGTTCTATATGGTCGTTCGTTGCTATCTATATTCGGGACGACTAGGACGGAACGATAAGCGAAATGTCTATATCGTTGATGCGTAGACAGAGCAACTGCAGGCGGGCTTGGAAGCAAAGAGAGGACTATGCCTGATGCGGGTATAATCTTATAGTTATATGGCTTGCCCACACCTGCGCCGCGTCGATGATATACCGCATTCCATATTTCTCAACAATCGGTGGAACCCAGCTCATGGAGAACGTGCAAGGCAGTCAGCCAGATCCAATGCGCATCAAATCCGCATGGAGATCTATGTGCACCGCGTTGTTGATGTCTCCGCGCCCGAGCGCTGGTGAATGTTATCTGCAAGCGCCATCATCCTTGCCCTTTGGATCCATGAGCATGCTAACATGGCAGAAGCAAGCTCACATCAAAACGAAGTCGGGTGTATCGATAACCTCGCATGCCCAGTCCCAGATTAGCACCACGTGGGACTGAATAATCTCCAGGCTCGGATCGATCTCCAGAGCCGTGTTGATGCCGGGCGCCATGGATGATCGTTGCCACCAATGAGGCTAGACACCGGCTAGTCAGGCACAGGGCATCTCTACTTACCCATTTCATCCACCTCCAGACATCCATGACAGCCGTCGCGACCCTCTCAACGGCGACATCTACGTCTTGAGCTTTGTTTGACGGGCTGCAGCTTTCTCCGCCCGCCACGGAAGATGCTGCACGGGAAGCCTGCGGCATGTGTGAGTAGCTTTTTCTTTGTGTATCGCATGGTCGTCCCCAAGCCGTGCGAGGTACCGTGAAACGCACTCCCCACGCGGCTTGGAGTTTGACAGTGCCGGCTTTTGCTGTGCCATAAGGACCCTTATCTCGACGTCGACGCTTCTCCGCGCTGCATCAGAACTGTGCTGACCCCTGTGCCTTGCCCGATGCAGCTGCTTTCCCTCTCCTGCAAGCTCGACCAGCTGCTGGGAATGTGTCGCACCATATAGACAGCCCCTCGTCGGCCTCGCGTGAGCCCAGCCAGACCCGCGGGCGTGCGCTGACTGCCTCGTCCCGAACTGTTGCCTCGCGCTCGCAAACACCGGCCGTCAAAGCTACCAGCAGTAATTCGAGCCCCGACCGCACCCTCCAGGCGCTCGAACGCAAACCGTCGGGCTCCTATGCCCACAATCGCAACACTTCCATCGTACACGGCATCCAGCACTCGCGGAACACCAGCTTCGTCAACTCTCCCGCCACAAGCCCGCTGAGCCCCCAGATCATCGCCGCCGCCGCCGGCGCAACCATCGATGGAGCCGTCATGTCGCAGGAGTCGATAGCCGAGGCCTTTGCCGCCAACGGCATGCAGCCTGGCGCGAGTACAGGGCATGTCTATGCCGGTGTGGGAGCCCAGGCAGCATCCAGCGATGGAAGCATACCTCAGCGCAAGCCTGAGCGGGCGCCGAGTGCCAGATCCTCGCGGAAAGGTCACAATCACCACCGCTCCCAGTCGCGCCACCCGCCGCCGCACCCCCACGAACTCAAGACGGTTGGCGAATATGCGCTGCACCACCTCTTCAACTCGTTCATCAGCCAGGCCGAGCAGAAGATCAACCAATGTATGACGGAGAGAGGCCAGCCCGAGGCCAGGGTAGAGGGTGTTTGTGGGCCTGGCGTAGACCCCACCTTCGATCAACTCATAGCAGCCCTGGGGCACATTGCGCGCCACAAGCCGAAGCCTCTCATTGATACCATTATGCTATGGCGCAAGGCAAAGAGTGAGGAAGCGTCCAAACAGCGCACTCAGCTGCTCAATGCCCGACAAGCCACTCCGGGACTGCAGCTCCATCCCGCCCTGTCTCGACGGAACACCGAACCGGTTCAACACTTGGAAAACGGATCCACAGCCTCTGTAGCATCTGGCCCCGAGCACATTGTCGCTCTACAACAGACTGTGACCCAAGCGGAGCAGCGCTCGACCGTCTCAACCTACATCCTCTGCCGAGTATTGATCGAAATCATGACGCAAACCGACCTCCACAATCTAACTTTCGAGATGGCCGATCGTCTTCTTGGTCTTTTCTATGGCCAACTTAGCACCGTTGACCCTGATATGGTGGACATATCTCCGCTCAATCTCGCCAACTGGACCATCTACAGCCAGCTTCTCGGCGTGCTAAGTGGACTCATATTCGAACAGGTGCAAGAAAAGTTCGTCACCGACCTGAAGATCGTAGATGGTCACTTGGCTCAGAAGAACCAGTACAACAGGGATCACGAAGCTAAAGGCGCTCTGCTCATCCGCGCTCTGAGGCACCTGCAAGTCAAGTCATATCCAGAAGAGACATGGGACCGGACGTGCGACTTCATGCTCTCCATGGCCAAGCTCTTCACTAGTGCCCACGGCCAGCCAGTCAAGTATGCTTACTGCCAAGTCTTGCGGGAACTACTGCTCCGTATCACCTCAAAGGCTACCATCGAGCTCAATGCACCCAAGTGGAAGGCTGTGATTGATATGATGAAGCAGCGCGCTGCTATATTGTTAGGCAAGCCAAAACACTGGCACGAAGCATTCCCACTCATGGCCGCCGTCCTATGTGCTTCTCCAACCGAAACATTTCTCTCCCAGTGGCTCGCGCTTGCCTTGTCTACTCAACCAAGACTGAAGGAGCGCGCAACGAGAGCCATCGCCCTTCGAGGTATATGCCGGCTGGTGTGGACTTACATCTACAGACGGGGAACCGAGGCACCAAATGTCGCCGTGCGTCGATTAGAGGAGATCATACGGATGGTGTTCCAACCGGGAAGGCGGTCATACCTCTCGACCGAACCAGCCATTGCTGAACCCTTGATACAACTTACGCGCATCATTGGCTACAAGTACCAAGACCTCTGCTTCAAGACCATCATCTTTCCTCTACTCAATTCGGAAATGTTCATGTCAGGGCGGGAGTTGCGCGTTGAAAATCTTGAGCCTGATCGTATGGTCATTGGTATCCGCTCGTTCCTCGCAATCATGGCTGATCTCGAGAACACCGAGCAGCCACCTTTCCCACTGACATTCGATTACGATCCAAACGCAGTTTCGAACGAGCTTCCTGCTCTTCCTTCCAGTCCACGGCCTCTGCAACCTTTGCCTATCAAGTCCAGTCTCCTCAAGGAGGAGCGTCTTTCGCGTCCTGTGAATTTCACTGGATTCGCCGAAGTGGCAAAAGAGTACTACATCCGTTTCTGCAAAATCCTGGGAGAAATTACTATCATATGCGACAATGCATTTGGAGGGCAGGCCGTATTGGATGAGAAGTTCTCTTCGCAAACACCAAAGACGCCCATGGCAGCGGCTTTCAGCTTCGCCCCTCGCGAAGATTATATGACTACTACAGACCTGCGGCAAGGATTCTATGATCTTCTACATGTCGCTGTTCAGGCTTTACCGCGCTGTCTGTCTCCACACATCCCTTTCAACTCACTTGTAAATCTCTTGTGTACCGGAACTGCCCATGTTCAAAGCAACATCGCTGTATCGTCCGCTCAGTCACTCAAGTCCATAGCCCGACAGTCGCATGCACAACAAGTCACAATTGGCTTTGCACGCTTCATCTTCAACTTCGACGATCGTTACGCTACCATGTCTGATGGCGGCATGCTGGGAGCTGGGCACATTGAGAATACCCTAAAGCTCTACGTGGAGCTGTTAGAGATATGGATTGAAGAGATTAAGCGGAAGACACGCAAGGCCGCCCTGGATACACCGGACGACGGTTCTGGGAATCGAGCTGCTCAGCTTGATCTTTCTTCTGTGTGGGCGCACGTTGACGAAGTTGAGTCACATGGCCTCTTCTTCTTATGTTCACCTTCGCATCGCGTCCGCTCCTACGCCGTTACCGTGCTACGTCTCATCACTGAGTTTGATACGGCGCTGGGCGGCTCCAACACCCGTGTCATCCGTGTAATGGAAGGAAGCCCCCAGAGGGTCTTGGACATTAGCGATGAGAAGCTGTCGCTAGCTGAGCGCAGTCGTTTACAACGCGGCATGCGCAAGAGCAATGTGCAGAGCACACTCGTGGAACTTTGCGGCAGCGATGTGCCGTATGACGCTACTTTATGGTTCAAGATTTTCCCAAATCTGGTGCGAATCAGTTTTGAGGTCTGCCCTTTTGCTGTGACTCTTACTCGAGACATAGTATGTGCCAGACTTGCTCAGATGTATCGCACTCTATCGTCCCTGGCTGAGGGCCAGCGTACAACGCCTTATTCACCGTACGAGCCTGGTGCTAGCAAGTTCAGTGGGCGCCTTGCCTCGACCTCACCAGAAGTCGTCATCGAACAATGGAAACTGTATCTCATATTTGCCTTCACAACCTTAACGAGCCTGGGTCCGACCGCTATGTCGGCTACGCAAGGTCAGCACTCGCGGAAGAGCTCAAAGTCTTCACAAACGAGCACAAACAAGCAACATACCGCCACGGAGTTGTTTTCTAAAGTCCTCCCCTTCCTGTCAGTAGACAATGCCGCCATACGAGACGCTGCGGTTATTGGTCTTGGCTCCGTTAACCTGAATCTTTATCGCACATTACTTGAGTCGCTTCAGGGGATTGTGGCTGCTTGTGCAGAAGAAGCCAAGATGCGTCTGGGCAATCACAACAGAACCATTAGCAGTCCCCGTCCCATCAACTACCGGACCGACCATCTCCGAACAGAGATTACACACGTATACAAGCTAACATCGCAACAATTCCTCAAACTTCCGGAAGCCCACAATGACGAGTGGATCATCAACAACTTAATGAACTACACCAAGGATCTCAGAATTTTCCTGAGTGATACAGAAGTCCAACTTGAGGCGCGCTACCAGAAGTTACGCACGCACTACTGTGGCCTTGTGGAAGTTTTGTTTGAGGGCATCAACAAGACCAGCGATCCTTTGCACTGGATGCCGTTTCAAGCTCGTAAAGCGGCATTTACTCTAATGGAAGAATGGTGCGGATACGCAGCAAATCAATCTCAGATTCGTCAGCGTGAAGAGCAGATGCGTCGTTCCATGCTCGACCGAGAGGTGGATAAGAGCAGCAAAGGTAACGCAACTGCAGCCCTTGAAATTGAAAAACGTGATCTTCGAACCGCGGCTTTGAGCGCTATGGCTGCACTCTGTGGCGGGCCTGTTAGTATCACAACTGATAGCAAAGTCTTGCTTCAGTTCGATGTCATTCGTATGCTCTCATGGATACAGAGCATCTTCGAAACTCCGAGCGATCGAACACACGCCATTGGTCGCCGAGCACTTACGAATCTCATATTGCACAATCGCGAGCATCCATATCTGCTAGACAAGGCAATTGAAATGTGCTATCTCGCGGTCTCTAGTAAAGCTCTCGAGAGCTACTTCGAAGTTGTTACTCAGGTCCTCACCCAACACGAGGACTACACTTTGCCATTCTGGAAAGTACTAAGCGCCGGTCTCTACACACTCGGACATGAGAACAGCGAGATACGCACAAAGTCCACGCGATTACTCCGAACGCTTGAGGCTCGTGAAGGAAAGAATTCGAAATTACAGGACCTGGACATCAGCATCTCTGACAAGACGGTCGCGGTATACAAGCTCGCACAGTTTGAAACATCACGAAGGCTTGCCAAGCAGCATGCCGAGCTTGCTTTCTTGGTCTTCTCGCAATTTTCGTACTACTTCAAAGATCTCAAGCCTGACCATAAGCGCAACATGGTCGCCGCTATGCTTCCTTGGGTGCAGTCTGTCGAACTGCAAGTCAACCCCGACGGAGGACCGACTGCTAATTCTTACATGTTACTCGTCAACTTGTTCGAGATCACCTACAGATCAGGCAACGTGCTACATAATGAGATCCAAGCACTCTGGCAAGCACTAGCAACTGGACCATACGGTGGTAATGTTCAACTTATCTTGAACTTCATCATCAATCTTTGTCTAGACAAGCGAGAACAGAACTACGTCGACTACTCCAAACAGATCGTAGTCCATCTTTCCAGCACTCCTGCGGGACTAAAGGTCGTTGAGTTCCTGCTATTACAGATCAACCCACGGTCTATGGTAAGCGAGAAGCGCGAGCCTATGCCACCGCCGCCAGACGCTGTCAATCTTCCATACTTGGCCGATCTCACCCAGGTTCTGCCAAGTAGCAATAAACAGGTAAGCATAACATGAAATTCATACTGATTTACGCTGACCTGCGTAGTCTGGCTTTGCTTTGGGACAGGTTTGCCTCATTTTGCTGGTTGACCTTATGGTGTCCCCAGTAGAGGTAGCCAAAGAGCACATTCCGTTGCTTCTACAAGTGGTCCTGGTGCTCTGGGATCATTACACCTCTGTGGTGCAGGACCAGTCTCGTGAGATGCTTGTGCATTTGATTCACGAGCTAGTCATCTCCAAGATCGAAGACGACACACCAGGCATCGACAAAAGGTCTATCGAAGATTTCGTTGAGAGCATTCGACAACATGACACCAAGGTGGTATGGAGCTATGATGACAAGAACGGCAAGGACGTGGCAGACTCAACCTTCAAGGTTCCTGAGCCAATGGGCTACGTTGCTGGCGAGGTGATGAAGTTCTTCTCATTTGCATACCCTGGACTGAGAGAAGCCTGGGGTCGAGTAGCACTGAACTGGGCCACATCTTGCCCGGTCAGACATATCGCTTGTCGGTCATTCCAGTTGTTCCGCTGCATTCTCAGTTCGCTCGATCAGCAAATGCTTTCCGACATGCTCGCCAGACTTTCTAACACCATCTCGGATGAGGAGAGTGACATACAGACCTTCTCTATGGAGATATTGACAACGCTACGGACCATCATTGAGGCATTAGCGCCTAAAGATCTCATACAGTACCCTCAGCTGTTCTGGACGACTTGCGCGTGTTTGGATACTATACACGAAGGCGAATTCATGGAGAGCCTCTTAATGCTAGACAAGTTTCTCGACAAGCTTGATCTAGGTGACGAGGAGGTGTTGAGCATCCTAGAAGAAAGCTGCCCGGATAAGTGGGAAGGCAAGTTCGAAGGCCTTGCCCAACTGACGTACAAGGGCATCAGATCAAGTACATGCCTGGACCGGTCTTTACGAATCCTGGAAAGACTGGTGGTACTACCTTCTAGCCGTATCGTGGGTGACGATAGCCGACTGACGTACACCGTTCTTGCGAATCTGCCAAGATTTCTGCGTTCATTTGACTCTACAGCACAAGATTCAAGTATCCGCGCCACTGCAGAAGTGCTTGCACAAGTCGCAGACCAGCACTACCAGTGCACATCGCTTTCCGAGGCGTTGACTGCCTTTGCAATGAAGAGGTACCGCCATGAAAAAGACTTCCTTGCGCAGACAATGTCTGCTATACGTTCTACGTTCAATTCGGAACATGAGTTCGGTAGCCTGGTATTCCTTCTCGGTTTACTCATGAACAAGATCGATTGGATGAAGATCAACACGATGGAAGTACTCTGCATCCTGCTACCTGAAATCGACATGCGCAAGCCGGAAATGGCATCCAAAGGATCTGATCTTTTCTCGCCTCTCCTACGACTACTACAAAGCGCATATTGCCCACAAGCTTTAAGGGTTCTTGACTTCGTCATCAATCTCAACATGACTAGTACCCTCACACCGTTCGACAAGCAGCACATTCGCATGAGCATGGCAGGCTCCCACTCTACCAGAGGATACAAGAAGCAGTTCGAGAAGACGCAATCATTGTACGGTATCCCTGAAGAAAGCGGCTGGTCTATTCCAATGCCTGCTTTGCATTCGCAGTTGACAAGAGCGAACGTTCATGCTGTTTTCTACACGTGCGGAAACTTTGACGAAATGAACGTACCGGACACTGAGACACCCAAGGTAGAATTCCGCCAAGAGGAGTTCCCGTTCAGCCCACTATCCGACTACCACCGAACTGCGACCATGACTTCCGAGGATACCCGTGGCGACAGTCACATTGGCGAACTAGTCATGAAACTAGACAGCTTGGATGACTTCTTTGAGGACGATGATGATGCGGAAACCTTGACGGATCTACCAAACTTTTCGTCCTCGGGACGGTACGGTAACGGACCATATGCTCACGACATGCGCGAGAACCTTTACGATCAGCAGACGGCGCCAATCTTACACAAATCACTCACAAGGAACGCATCTGTGACTTCTTTTCAATCGGGATTCATCTCGGATGTCAAACTCTCCCCAGCTAGGGATCCAGGTGTCATGACACCAGGCGCTTTCAGCTCTTTCGCCAACTCCTCTACTGGCGCCTTGCCTCCAACAAGTCATCCCCGCCCGGGTCTCCATTCCCGCTCCGTAACGTCACCCTCGGCGCCAAACCAACCCCAACGTATTTCTCCTTCCCTCTCATCAACCACGCTCGACGAACAAAATGAGCCCTTCTCCGATGACGAGTACTCTGCTGGTCGGTCGAGCAGCACAGACAAAGGCGGCACCTTCAGTCTAGAGAACATTATCAAGCCTGTTGCTCACGACACAAGGAGTCGCTTTAGGAGTGGTATGAGACGGCTGACGGGGGGTGGCGGAGAGAAGGAAGGTGCAAAGACGCGGGATGCAATCAAGCTAGCGCTGCAGAAGAGTCCGCAAGTACCAAAAGTGCCCGACATCTATCTGGTGAACCCTAAAAGCGCAGATCTGTAGGAGAGTTATCATAAGTGAACTGACAGCATGCGTTTGATGGTAAATGAAGTATGGCGCTCATTGGAGTGGGCGTCTGATATATATGGGATAATGTATGGGTGTGTATAGAAAGAATCAGCGAAACGACCACAAGATACCACGGCGCAATATTCGGATGGTGTTTTTCAACATGAGGAAAGGATCGGGTTATCGCATGCGCATGTATGGGTTACATCAAAAAGTTACCAACCGCTCCTTCTTTCTTAGCTGCATTTTGCTTGCGAGATACCACAGTTTTCATCAATACGATTAGAATGTTTATTGTCCTATGCATGTTCGCCATCTTTCTCTCGCCATATGTACAATTGAGCGGTTGGCGCCTGCCTCCATCGTCTACATCTACTCGTGCGCATCGTACCCTGGTGGTGCCTCGAAATCCAACTCCCCACCAACAAGTCTATACTCAAATGTTTCTTCACCTTCATCGCACTTGAGCCACCCTATGATCGGAACAGGCAACGCACGATCCCGGTACCAGGATCGTTCTACCGCTGTCATCCAATGTATTGGCGCAAAATTACCAACTGGCTCTTGTTGCTCTTTCCGCTCTACTTCCCCTCTACCACAGTTACCGACTATTATAGGCGCCAAACTTCCCACGCCAGTCGGTGCATAGCTCGGGGTTATTGCCATCATAATACTGAGGAAGGGTAATATTACGGAACCTATGCGGGTCGCGATGCTCACTCCAGAAATGTGTGTAGGTTTTGGAGTGGGAGGAGCTGGCGTAGACCGCCATTCTGGGTGGTCACGAAGGACGTCGGAAAAGGATTGTGTGATTAGCCAGCCGCGGTCGCGATAGATGAGCGAAATGGAGGCGCTAGTTGTGCGAATGACAACGGGACCTGCTGGGTGGTAGATGTAGCTGAGCATTGTTACTGGGTATGGGTGTTGTGCTAGACTGGGTTGCATGAGGGCTTTTGTAAGTGCTGTTCAATCAGATGTCGTGCGTGGATTTCGTCAAGAGACAGTGGCGACATTTTGGTACATTAAAATAATAAGGTGCGTGTGATAGACGATTTTCACAAGCTATGAATAGCCTTGATGTACTCACACTCGCTTGCTATAAGGAATTGCAGTAGACGTGATGTGTTTCAACCGTGGCCTTCATCCATGGATGCACATGCGAGCAAACCTCTGCACACGTGACATGAATGCCGTGGCACCAGGTGGAGATTCCTGAAGACCGCATCAGTTATGGGGCATAAGACGTCCTCGTTTCGATAGACTTTCCTTGAAGATAGTAAGACAATATCGGAACAAGCCTAGAAGATCTCAAAGACTAAATGCAAGTTGGTTTGATGCTAATAAGTCTAGTCCATATAGTCGCATTCCATACCACCATTGTAGGGCGCGGATGTTTCACAGCCACCAGGAAGATCGTGGCGCTGCATGCACGTTACAAAGTAGCCGTTAGTTGCGCAGTGGTGTTGATGATGGCTAGCTGACTGATGCAGTCCATTTTAGTAAATGCGGTGAGGAAGAGTAAGGAGTTGGCTCCGGATTCGTCGGCGGAAGGAGACGTGGATACCCTGCAGGGTAGCTGAAGGTTTAGCGCGTGCGGTAACTCCAAACAGATGACAACTTAATCTCCTATTCGCCTTCTGACAATGCACCATCTCAGCACACTTGCTATGTCAGACCGATCTTGGGTTACTATGCCATCGCGCCCTCAATAGTCCTCAGCCCTATGGCATTTTGGACCTCTAATGTTGCGCTCACTCCAAGAATGGCCTCTGCAACGCAGCTGAAGATGCAGTGACCGCTTTTGGTATTCTGAACTTCGCTGGAACCGGAAGTGAATTCAGCACTGTTCTGGAGCGCCTCACTTCACCTGCGCTCTGACCATGACGCCTGGGTATGCTGGCGCACTGCTGCGATGGTGTCGCATACACGTCAAACGCGCTGTCTATATGACAGCCTGAAACAAGATAAATCTGCGTCTTCTCTAAAGTCCCAGTTTTCTGCCTCGATTCCTCATCAAGTTCTTATTTCGAAAAAGACACAATCACCAGCTATCCAATATGTCGGGCACATTCTACGGTGCTAAGGTTTACCTCATCCACACTACGCAGCACACTCGACCTTTCCTGACGACTGTACCCTTTATAGCCCGCGATTTCGCCTCTTGGGGATACCGAGTCGATCACCATGCTGCAGATTCGCCATATATTATCGAAGTTCGATCCCGTGAGGATGTGGAGCATATGAAACGTACAGATCGTGGTGGCAGTCGAAGGACGAAGTTGATGGGAATATGGGCAAACGAATTAGTTCGCAGAAAACGACAGCAGCGAGGAGATGCAAGGGGCGGTGAAATTCAGATGCCCGTGGCTAATGGCGGGTTTGGGTCGTCAGAAGCTAGGGTAAAGAAAGCCGGCGACCTAGTCCAAGATGTCATCGATGGGTTGGTTGCGTCTGGTGAGTACAAGTCCAGCACACGGTGTTCCTTGTTTGATATTGAAGTGAAGGCTAACAGAGTAAAAGAAACTCAACGCATGCCGCAGTCGACTCGGAAGAGTAAATCAACAGAGTCGTCGCCCACCATTCTGACCACATATACTCGTCACTTATACGCCATTCGTTATACGCCTAACGCACCTTTACCATCATGGTCGAACCCTGACATCTTCTACGCAGATCATATTGTTCTAGAATTTCATCATCACGAAAACATCAGAAAAGAATGTCTAGTTGATGCAGTACGTAGCGCGATTGGTAAAGATGAAGGAAGAATGGGAAGAGTGGAGAAATGCACCACTACAGGACTGAAGAGAGTATATCTATGGATTGATGTTGCAGACACGTTCTTCGGCGATGTAGTGCGAGAAGAGGGCGATTTAGAAGACAGAGATCCTGTTCCAAAGTACGAGAGGGGTGAAAGTCCACCTACATATGACGAGAGATAAGGCAGATGACATTTTGAATAAAATTACTGTACGCTACCACGGGAGTCACCCGAGGATCCATAAAACAAGGTCGTATATACTGTAACCTTGCGACACTAGCTTCATGCACCTAGATGATTGATTACACACATCCGTTCAAATAAATACAGCAAAATATAGAAGAAAGTCAAATAGTGAGGGGGTGTACCCATCATTCGCTTTGATGTGCCGACCCTGATGCACTTCTGTATGCTGTCTTCCTCGAATATGTCCTTCACTCACAATAGGTGTTCCAAACCTCCAAAGTCCTGTCTTCTCTTTTCCTCTAATCATACACCACTTCCCCTCTCCTCAGTCCACCTCGATGGCTTCTCGCACCCTCCGCCATCAATCCATTCATGTTCGTAACCCGAACCTGAGCCATGTATTCCTGTTGTTCTGGCGTCATCGGCTTCATGCCGTTGCCGTCCTCCCTGAAACCAAAGGTCGCGTTTATGGCATAGCCGACGCAAACACATATACCGGCGCCTAGCATGATGAGGAGGATGATGACGGTCTCTGGGATTGCGTATTCGTCGCGCTTAATGAGAGGATGGGCGGTTGCGTTGTTAAGAAGTGCGAGAAGGAGGATTGCTGTTTGAATCATGCTTGCGTATCGCTCTTGGTGCAAGTGATGTTATGATGTGAAGGCTTGACAACGGTGCTACCGTTCTCGTGTCAGGTAGGAGATGGATTTTTTTTATCGACAAATGTAGCAGGTTACGAGGCTGATAGATACTCTCGAGTAATTTGACGTGTATCTCTATGGTTGCTGAAGAAGAAAACGAAGGAAGGGTAGTATAGCGTGATGCTCGAAAGTAAAGACTGAACGAAAGTGAACGAACAGGAAAAAGCAGCCGGCAGTGCCCTTCAAATGATGAACGCCATGCACCATTCCAAAACAACAAACTCCACCTGTATATTGACTTGCCAGCATCCCCTAATCCTCCATTGCCGTTATCTTACATGTGCACAGGCCGCGTCTTCGTACATTGCCTGTTCTGACATAGCGTCTCGCTGAGTGGACGCTGCGGTTGGCCAATGATTCCCTGAGTGACCCACTTCACTCTGTCGCTTCGCGAGAGGTATCCACCAGGCACGTGATATTGCGAGCAGACCAATGAGAATTCGAGATGCTATTTTTGTGCTTCCTGATGTGGCATCGAGGAGTGTCTTGTGGCGTTACGGACCTGAGTACCACTTGTGACCAGCATGTCAGACGCAGGGATGCTGTTCCGGTAAAGACAGCCGGAAGTCGACTTCCTGGTAGTAGTAAGCTTGACTGCCGTCCTTACGAAGGTAGGTGCATTACCTGACGTTACCTGCTCTCCAAATCCGTTACCGTGAGCACTAGAAGGCATGCATTTTCATGCTGAACCGCACTCAGAACCAGTCGCCCGAACACGCTATTGCACCCGACACGACTGTCCTCACGCAACACTACAATGGAGCGTCCTGACGACCCAGGTACCTTGGAGTTGAACAATACAATGGAAACAGCTAAGCATCCATCCGCTCGACTGCACAGAAGTGAGGAGGCCCGCAGATAGGCAAGTTCGTAGTGGTTAGAGGTGGTCGAATCTCTACCATGGTTCTACGTCTCGCTTGAGCAGGCTTAACATTCGAAAACGTCGTCTTGGGTCCAGTCGACATTCACACCAACATCTTCGAACGCGTTTTTCTCGATGCGAAACAATACAAAATCCATACATGCACTAAATCAGAAAAACGTAATTCCGCCATGGACCACGTTCAACAGCTGATCACACGAGGCGATAATCCAAGAGAAGAAAGAGCTTACCGTGATCCTGCTAGCATCGAAAGTGTCAAATATCGCATCCGTAGCGAGCCAAACCACCTCTACGAAGACCCAGACATTGACGAAGACATAGTATATCGCATCATCCCTGGGGGCGTGGTGACGAAGAGACATTTGGAGATTTGCGCTGAGCACTTCTCGACTAATTATGGTGTGTGGAGTCAGAGAGCACGTCTCGTTATGGGCCCCTGGGCTAAGTATGGTTAGTAGAGCGACAAAAACGAAGCCATTTCTAACTCCCATGTGTAGGCAAGCACATACGGCTTAGTCGCGATAGGCTAAGAGCTCAGTGCCTACCGGATGGAGTCAATAACATCCTAGTGATAGCCATTACTAAGAATGGTCTACAGGTCGGACACTGCTTTATGAGCCAGTGGATGCACGGTGACGATCGGGTGTGGTGGATAACGCAACTACTGGTGTTGAAAGGCTATCGCAACCAGAGACGAGCTACCAAGGTAAGCAGATGTCATACATGAGAACAAGTGACTGACTTGCAATAGATGCTACAAGCCTTGGCCATGCATTACGATGTCGGCAGATCCACCCGGAGAGATCTCGTCGGAGTAGCGTCCTCAAATCCTTACACCATTTGCACTCTCCTTCGCGTTTTCGGTCGAGGCATTGAGGTACTGCCTTCGAAGCCAGATTGGGAAGAAAATCCTGTTCGTCACACGCCGCTGCCCATTTCAGCATGTGAGCCGATAGTCAAAGCCGCACCAGTCAACTATATCCGCGATGCCAAATTGTTACCTGGGACACTGACTGTCAACACAAGATTTTTCATAGATCACGCCGCGCCTGATGAAGCTTTGACAAGAATCGTATACAGTATAAACAAGCAGATGATCGAGCCGTGGGAATGGTTGTTTGGGCACTTGGAACCCGGATGTGAGTATTTGTGTATTTTGGACTATTCCTTCGACTCGGAGTATAGGCTGGACTCGATGCTTCATGACAAGTTAACAATCTCGAACGCGGCTCAACCAAAAGAAGGGAGTTCAAACCGTACGAAGAAGTCGTTTGAAATCGGCAGTTCCAAACGCCTTAAACGATCGTCAAGTTTGATCCAATATGGTGAGATTGATCGTTATCTGCTCGAAGCTCCCAGCAGCTGCCAGCTTGATCCAAGATGCAATCGAGCTTATGCATCCTTATATGGCAGTGTGCGCAAGCTCGTCTTTGAAGCAAAAGGGCTGATTGCAACAACACCTATGCTGTCCATCATTATGAGTGCGAAGCAAATACCGGATGACCTTCGCAGAGTCTATCAGTCGGCGGACTTTTGCTTCCCACTACCAGAGCAAGTGCGGACCTGGGCGGACTTCACTGAGTACGCATATGGTGTCTTCGAGGGAGACACTAATGTCGCTGCTAGGTTCTTGATTCTTCAGGCCATCCACTTTCAGGAGCTCAGAGATAATCACGAAAGCTCGCAAAGAGCAAGAGTGATGGAGAGCCTGGAGCTGGCGAAGCTAAAGAGAATGAGGGAGAAAGGTCAGTCAGCCAAACGAGTCAGACAAAAGCCTACAATTCAGCGACCGAGGTTCACAGCAAATACTTCTCGAGATAAGGATAATGCTTTGTCTGCAAAGCCTCGGGAGGAACCTGGACTCACCCCGATGGTACCTCCTCGGAAGCCTCTCGCCCCAAAGCCTCAGGGACCGTCCAAAATTGCCGAAATGCCAGCAAAGACAGATGCATATACCACCAAGCCTCGTACAACGTCTATGCTCTCATCCATCGGGAATTCTTTTCGAAAGTTGAGAGTTTCTAACCCTCGGCGATCACTGTCAGAGTCTAAGCCTCGAGGTTCTATACCAACGACAAACGCATCCAACGATACGCCAGCACCGACGGAGCAGACACCGCCGCAGACCCCCCTTAGCCGTAGCTTTGGACCAATCCCTCGGACTGCACCAATTCGGATTTCTGCGGTTCCTAAGGATCCTTTCTCTGCAAAAGTCATTCGTCGATACGAACACGAGGCGCATGCTGCTATCACACCACCCGCAACTCCGCTATCTTCTCAGCCGCAAGCGGACCTACCACGTTACATGGCCCCAACTATGAGCTCAATGCAACGGTATAAGACCCACAGTCCTGAACTTTTCTATTCCGATGAGTCTGATGACGGAAGTAGGTCGAGTGTGTCCGGTCGGCCGTGTTTGAAAAACAGCGGGAAGGTCTTAGATCGGACGGGGGGAAAGAGAGGATGAGCCCCTGGTCAGGTCGTTGGCACACCAGACAGAGATAATAGAATGCCGACCATTGGTGGTTTGTTGCGTGGTCGGCAGATGCTGTGTCTTCTTGATGTTAAGGAGATGAGAAGCAGGTGGAGAACGAGAGAATGCTGGTGTCGATTGAGTGTGGGGTCATGACGCGTCTCGACTGGCTAGTGCGTGGACCATGACTTCTTCTGTTCTATCGTCAACTTGAATCAAATCAAACTTCACCTCAAGATTCTTCAAGGTGGCACCCGAAGTAATATCTGCACAAAGCCATCTCATTCTCTTAGTATATTATGAAACCATAGTGTTGCGAACCAGTCGCTCAAACTAGGTGCGAGTGTCATCCATTCGCGACCCTATATGAACGCATTCATCTATCTTACATTGACACAAGGAAATGCCGCAAAAGAGCTAGTCTCGAAAGTTACATCCACGCCTACAGAGCCCAGGCAGCAGCAGCAAAGACGACAGACAAAGCCATGGCCATTGAGTTCATGACCGACACCGAGGTAGCAGCTCCCGCACCGGTTCCGCTGGGAGCGGCAGCGCCAGATTGCTGAGCATTGCCGTTTCCGCCATCGCTTCCGCCGTTGGTGTTGTTGCTGCTGCTGCTGTCGTTGTTACCGCTATCTGTAGTCGAGTTGCTGCTCGACGAGCCACCGGTCGAAGTACCGTTGTTTGTGGCGGGCTCTGCCGAGGGGAGCTCCTTCTGCTCTGGGCAGCTGATGTCGAAGCGCGGGGTGGTGGACAGCTTGTCCGAAATGGCGAACTTGACCTTGTTTGCAGGGTTGGCATCGCGGAGTGTGTACCAGAAGACGTTCCTCTTGCCGAAGAGCGCGCAACCGACATCTTTCCAGTATGTCTCTGCGTTATCTACAGTCGATGTGGCAGCACCAAAGTCAGGACCACTGTACGCCCAGCCAGTCTCGGTAATCCAGACATCTTTGTCTCCAGCGACGCCCTCAGTTGCGCTGATAGCACTGCTTAGGAGCTTGCCTGCGTTATCGATCTTGTTATCAAGCTCGGATTCGTAGAAGGGGAATGCGTTAACAGCCAAAAAGTCAATCTCGTCGATGACAGCCTTGTTCGACTCGTTGACCCAAGCAGTCCAGGTGTCGACGTGGGTGATCTTCACACCCTTGAGTGGGGTATCGGCAAGACGCTCGCGCGCAGTCTTGATGAATTCAACAATCTTCTCCGCGCTGTTACCGACACCAGCCTCGTTCCGGATACCAGGTTCCGACACACGGTAAAGATCTTCGGAACCGACAGACAGTCCGATAACAAGATCCGTCAGCTTTGTTCCGTATTCCTCGACTGCGGAGTTCAATGCCTTCAATTCGTTGTCAATGTTGTCCGTGCCTGATGCCCAAATACCGAGAAGGAGCTTGGAGTTCGTTGCGATAGCGGCAGGGAAGGCGGCGATGGGTGTGTCGGTCGTCTCCCACTGAATGTTGGAGTAAAGACGGATAGCGCTGAAGTTGCCTGGTGCGCCCTCCAGGCTCTGCGCGGTGGTGAACTCCTTCTCGAAGTCCTCCTGGGTCTTTGCCTTGCCGGTATCATCAGATGCACCGGAGTTGAAGCCCAAAACAAAGTCCTGCGCAAGGGCACTGCTGACGGTGGCCGCCGCGACGGCAAGCGCTGATACAAAACGCATGTTGGTTGAAGTTCTAAGGGAGTGACTGTAGTTGAAGAGTTGAAATTGGAAGAAAGGATTGTGTTGAAAGGAAAAGAGGAAGTCAGCAGTGGAGGCCCTACGAAGGAGTGAGATGGCTCAAAAGCAGGGTAAGCTCCGTGTATTTTTATGCAAACGCGAGCTGATGATCATTCACGAACGGCGTACCCCGTAATTGCGGCAGCTGGGGTCCGGGGCAGATTGATTGGCCACCCCTTCGCACCGCAGCTGAGCTGAGCCTTGGCGCCGAGGAGAGCCAGTCAGTTTTTGCCTTTGTGTTTGGCGCACAGCCACGCGCCTGAAACGGCGCGTATAAAGACAGTTTCGAAAGCTTTCAGGCATCACGTCAGAACCGGCTATTCTCGATAGCATCACCTTAACTCCTGGCGAGTGCATTCTGGCTCTTCCATGATAATCGCTGGTGTATGCACCTACGATATAGACGTTGTGATACTGGTGTGAATCTTTGTACGTGCCTGCTTGCGGCTGTAACGCGTGAGAGGAATTACAATCATCCTATTGATCGAAGCACGTTAAAAACGTTCTACAAAACGTATGTCTGGGATAACACAACGGGTGCCTACTCATCAAGATTGCATCAAGCTTTCACGACAGCACCGGAGCGGCCCCTAATGCAACCCTTCGTAGTGCGCTAGAATTAGTCAAGAGCAACGATCACAATCAAAGTAAAAGCAATACTTTTAAGCTTATCAAGAATGAATTAATGTTATGGTAATTCTGCCACAATGACAAAACATATTCTTGCGAATGTATGTATATAAATCCCCGTTCCGTTCCTTATTCCTCTTAACCCAGATTAACCTGAAATGTGCAAATACAAAACCAGGTATCGTCCCTCGTATTTACAACCCCAAGGACAACCTTTTACGCCAAACCTGACCACTCCCTGGATCCTTACCGTCTTGGTGCGGGACCAGAGCTCAGTGCTGACAAAGGTCCACCGCCGGTCACAGGTGTCTGAGCTCCTGTAACTGGTGTTGCAGGCGCGGGTGTAGGGGCGCGAGATGGGACATTACTCCTGTTGTGTGCCATATGCGCCTTGACAAGATGACCCGCACACAGTGCGCTGTTGAGCGACAATTCACCAGCCAATACACCAGCAGCGATGACACGAGCCAGTTGCCTAGCGTTGTCACCAGGTGATGTTGGGTGGGCACCTCGTACGCCGAGGAGGTCCAACATGGCGGATTGAGGTTCGAGAATGGTACCGCCACCGATTGTGCCGACTTCAATTGAAGGCATAGAGACGGAGATTTGAAGGTTGCCGTTGACGCTGTTCTTCGTTAGGTTGTGGCCTTGTCGTATCTCATGAAAGGAGCGACTTACTTATGCATAATGGTGATACAGTTGGCACTCTCAACGACCTGTGCTGGATCCTGTCCGGTGGCCAAGAAGATAGCAGCAACGATGTTCGCCGCGTGGGCGTTGAATCCACCCATAGCACCAGCCATTGCAGATCCGATAAAGTTCTTGGAAATGTTCATCTGTACCAAATCTTCGACCTCGCACTTGAGGACTGACTTGACGACAGAGCCGGGAATCATAGCTTCGGCAACAACACCCTTGCCACGACCGTCGATCCAGTTGATAGCGGCGGACTTCTTGTCAGTGCAATAGTTACCCGATACGGTCACTACACGCATGTCCTCGAAGCCGCAGTCGGTTGCCATGACGGTGAGAGCATGCTCGACACCCTTGGAAATCATGTTCATACCCATGGCATCACCAGTGGTGGCCCTGAAACGAACGTAGATGTTGGTACCAGCGATGGCAGATTTCATAGATTGGAGCCTGGCGAAGCGAGAAGTGGAGTTGAATGCGTCTTTCATCGTCCTCTGGCCTTCCTCCGAGTCAAGCCAGTTCTTCGCAGCACCAGCACGTACAAGGCTATCGAACCCAATGCAGGGTCCGCGGGTCATACCATCACCAGTCACAACAGTAACAGCACCGCCACCTGCGTTGATAGCCTTAGCACCTCGAGAAGTTGAAGCGACAAGTACACCCTCGGTGGTTGCCATGGGGAGGAAGTAGTTTTGGCCGTCGACGAGGATAGGTCCAGCGACACCGAGGGGGAGAGGGAGGTAGCCGACGACGTTTTCACAGCATGCGCCATGAACAAGATCGTAGTTGTAGTCCTTGTAAGGTAGCAGCGAACGTTCCAGTAGTGTTGAGGTTTCCCGTGTAGCGTGGGTACGTGAGACTAGACCACGACGAATCTTGACGGCACGAGTCTTGTCACCAAGCGTCTTTTCTAGAGCATAACCAGGAATCTTTCCCTTGAGTGACATCTCGATAAGCTCCTCGTCAGTCATCTTGGGTGCTTGCTTTTCCTTGATCATCAGGTCGAGAACCTCAAAGGGACGGTTTGGCTGTCTTTGCTGTTCTTCAGAGGGTCCGACCGGTATCTCCGGTGTTCGTGTTGCGATCTGCGTAAGGGGCTGAAGGCGACCATTCTGATCCTCAGGGCCGGGGGTGCGAGGTGGCGTAGGCATGTGCATCGAAGGTACGCGAGGAGTGCCTGGCACAGTAGGAGCCCCATCCTGGACTTCGGAGGGAGAGGGTGGCGCGAGTGGCTGGTGCGGTTCTTTGATGGTCCAGCGAGCGGCATTAAAGAGATAGCCGTTCAAGACCACGCTCATTACAAGGGCAAGGACGATCCATTTGCTAAGGAAAGGGTCCTCCAGACTCTTCAGTACACCGTCAACTATGTGAGTGCTGATGTTGCTTCCGAAAGCAAACTCGTTGTCTGTAATCGAAGGCTCGGCGTAGTGAATAGAAGGGAACTCAAGCTCATACTTGATCGGCATAAGAATGGTGACAATAGTTGACGTAGCGGTGCTCTTGGCATGCTCGTAGATGTGGTCCAATCCATTTCCAGCGACCTTGAAGGGGTCCAGCGGAGGGGTGGCACCTACGCCCGAAACGTGAGAGACCTTGCTAGGAGAGAGGCCAAATCGGAGAGTAACTACGTTGAGGACATTGACGAGGATGAATCCAGCAACCATGAGAATCTTGAACTTTGGCACCGTGATCTTCTTTCCGAAAACAGTTGTTGTGTGGTTGACAACTTGCACATCACGAGCGTTGGGCCAGTCGTTGTTGCGAGCGACGTTCTCAGCAACCTTGCCATCGACACCGTCATCCTCAAGAGCCCTGCGGAGAGCCACATGGCGCTTAATCCGGTTGATCTCAAGCTTGATGGTAAGGATAGCAGTATAGAAAGTGAGCAGCATAATGGCGTCAAAGAAAAGGATCCAGGCACCAAGGAAGCAAAACTGTCGCAGACCACCCTGGATGCCAGACATGGCGCCAGCGACAAGGATCAAGATCTCGAAAAAGTAGTCGCGGACAATCTCGAAACCAGTCCGCTTAATGGCTGTCTGTACAGATGACTGGATGGTCAAAGGCTCACCCCGCTTCTCCTCAGCTGCTCGTCGGCCATCCAGAGAGGCAGACAGGACAGCCTTGGTTAGAACGATGGGCTTCTCAAACCCAATGATGACCACCAAGAAAGGAAGACCCTCTGAGAGCAGAATCAAGTTGATAGGAACACCGAGGTAGGTTGTCACGGCGAGACCAAAGAGGAAAGCAAAGGCCGACTGCAGGAGGACTGCAGTAGCCAGCCAGAAGTTGGATCCAAGCCGCCTCATGGCGAGGAAGAGAGAGACGAAAGTCAGGTGCATGGCGAGGTAACCCAGGGCCATGATGACGATGTCGCCAGTGTCAGCGTTCTGTGCTGGTCTTAGCCAAGTTCACGTTTGTATCCACAGACAAAATACCTTGAGGAGATCGACGAAAGACGTCCACGACTCAATGATCCAGTTGCGCACGCCGCCTGGCGCACTGCCGTTCTTGGAGGCCTTCATCATCCACTTCTTCTCTTCGCGCGTGCCCTCTTTCTCAGAGCCCTGCGACTGAGCAGCGTCCTCTGGCGCAGAAATCTCCTGCATAGCCTGGAGGAAATCGGCAGCTTCGGTGTACGGGATAGAGAATGCGAGCGAAGTGTCGTGCGAGAAAGTGGAGAAGGAGCTGGAGGAGCTTGGGAGGAGCTTGGCAGAGACATTGCTGGGGACAGATTGTTGCGAGGGAGCAGAGTTGATGGTGCTCGATTCGGGGAAGACGAGAGTGACGAGAGCGAGTTCCTGGGCAGTCTGTTTTGTTAGCCAGATGTCTTAGAGTTGGCGGAGCTGCCTACCTTGTCCTTGTAAACGGTAGTCTTGGGCTCTTCAGCCTCCCACTGCCATGATGTCTCCTCTCCTACTCTGAGCGTCTTGCTGCCGGCCAAAAGGGAGTGGAAGTCGACGCGGCTAGAGACTTCTTCAATGCCACTTTCCAGTAGGCCCCTGTCGAGAACGCCCAAATATGAGTAGCTAGCCAGGAAGGCAATGGTGACGATGGTGTGGATTGGGTGGGTGCATGCCTTCTTCGCGACGGAGAGAAGGATGGGCGAGAAGTGGCGGTCGAACCAGGTGGGACTGGTCTTCTTCTGCTCGCCCGTCGACTGCCAGCGGCTGGTGAGGTAGCCGAGCATGGTGGATAGGTCACCACTGAAGTTGATTCAGTGGGAAGTGTTGCAGGCCCGTCTAGAGAGCCGCTCGCATGGGATGACGCGGAGGCGTGGCTGTGCGCAGCGGGTAGTGGGATGGGGTGCGAATGGCGAGGGCGAGTGACTACAAGAAAAGACCTTTCACCATGTCAGTACTGTCGCTGCCGGATATTCCTTCTAGCGCCGCCATACCTCGCTGACCCTCCGTGGTCGGTTGTGGTACCAAGACACGGTCAAGTCTCCAACTATGGGGCCTGAGCGATACCGGAATCCCGCAATTGGCGTCGCAGCACACGTAAACGCGCCGCTCTCGAAGAAAAATAAGGAGGGGGAGTAGAGGCTGGTGCACAAGACACACTCGGTGCCGACTCAAATGTGGAGGAAGGCCCCTTGCCGTCCCGCGACTTTTTTGTCAACGCTAGGCCAGACAGCACCCTCACCGCTTTGTATCCCGGCCCAGGCAAGACGTCTCTATTCGACGATAGACGATGAGATAACAGAAGGGTCCTGCAGAGCGTATGCGCCTAGTCGTCTTTGACAGCTAGTCTGCGTGACCAGCTCAGCGTACTTGGTTCAAAATATCCTAGGCTTGTTGTTCTGGCGATGCATTAGTTATGCACTTCAAGTTTGCGCCACACGCCACGCGCCACGTACGCCACAGGAAATGACGCGCCTGTCAAAATTGCAGAGGGCTGGCCTTCAACCCGGTTTGCGCGCCGCTCCAATCAATCCCAACAACAACCGGATGATCTTCAGGGGAACTGGATCAGCATCGGTGTCGCCTTGCGCCCAGGTGCAGAACAAGGCTGAGAAAATTGATTAATCCCAAAGCCTGGATGATATCGATAGCAGATAATGCACCTCTATGAATGTTCGGCGGCTGTTACTCTAACAAATACCCCATGTCTATAACACATCTAAGCAATACGATCGCAGACTTGCATCTAGAATATCCCGTCATCCATGCATAATATCCCGTCGGCAGGCCAAAATGCCCCGTTGCCTTCTCGAATCTCTCGTACAGTCAAGAGCGTGGGAAACACGATCGAGAGCACTCGGCATGTTTTTATCCCCCTTCTCGACTGTACTAGAGCCAAAATGCCCCGTCAGCCTTCCTTGCTAGGCGAACTTCTCAGTCATCGGGACATCGCCGTTCGTAATCTCCCTTAGGAACACAGCGTCCGGCCTGTACAACATGACGTGGAAGTGCTCCACTGCATGCACGCTCTTCAGACTCTTCCAATTCTTGAACCAGACCAACTCTTTTACCTTTGGAGCGAACGTCTTTTGTACGTAATCACCGATTTGTTTCTGGGATTCTGCGGTAGAGAGCCCAGTGTCGGGGTCGTCGTCCAGTTCAAACTTGGTCCACACGACGAGGTGCACAACGTCTGCATCGATGCCATATGGCCAGTCGTTATATAGTATCTTGATGTCTTCTATAGGTCGGTAAACATGGATGCAAGTCAACGTAACACAGGTGCACATACCATCAAATTCGAACGGCTTGCCCTTCGGCTCCATACTTCCCCACTTCAACCGCTCATTAACAATGAAGTTCATGATGCTGCCGTAATCCCTCTCCAGCCGATGGGTGAACTGCCGATACCGCCTCAACTCACTTGGCATGCGATGAAACTTGTCGACCCGGTTGCTCTCTGACCACGACCATCAGCGTTTCGCTTATCGCGCGTCGCGCCTCTATCTCACCTACAATGTCCCGCACTTGGTCCCATGTCAACACCTTGTAGTGTTCGTCAGGCGTCCCGATGATCCCTTTATCCTTCTCACTAATATCTCTCAAGAAGTCCGGGCACTCGCTCGGCCATTGATCTCTAGGAACATTGACTAGCCAGAAAGGCAACTCCTCGTGTGGCATCCTTGCTGCTGCTAATTCCGGAAAATAGTGAGCAGTCGAAAGTAAACAACTGCGTAGTGGTACAAGATTGTGTTGGCAGGGTTTGGGATTGCACTGCAAGGATGCCGGTGCAGCAGTCTAGGGGAACCCTAGCGGTGAGCCCTAGGGAATGTTGAACGACAGAAACGGCGGGTGGGACCGCGCTGAAGCTTGCGCAAGGCCGTTGTCAAGCCATGTTTTGCGTATAGCGCCTTGTTTCAACGTGGCATCCCGCCTCGATGAGGAAGAGCACCCGCATGCTGATGATGAGAATCGGTAGCAGCTCTGTGCGTCTTCAAGTGTCTTGCGAAGGGTGCGATGCAGAAAACCCAAGATGCAGGATGCTGCAGCCAACACAACTGCCGTATACTTGTTCAACACCAGAGCCGCACTGCACGGCAATCAAACAGCCGCATGGCCTTACCAATCGCACATGGGTCCCTCGTCTCAGCTACCTTCTCTCCAATTTCCCGCGCCTTACCGCCATCGGCGCCATGTGTCCAGCGTGATGGCCGGCAGGGATCCAAACAGCCTCGAAGCTGCCCATTGGCCAGCTTTGACCAGCTTGTGAGGCCCACCCCGAACCTCGAAACCAACGAGAACCATCACTGTGGTTGCCCCCCTTCTCACGATAATACCAACATCCTGCTTTGACACCTGGACGTCGAGTCTAGGCAAATAGTGTTACATCGCATGGGTCCGAGGCCCATCGCCTGTTGTTTTAGGGGCCTGTATAGGCGTGCAGTGTTAAGTATGGTAGTTTCCTCTTTTCATTCATGACTACTTCCATTCACGACTGTGCCTTGAAGCGCTACACCTGTGCAAACGATCGCTTCATCCTACTATCGTCGCTCCTTTCTCTACTACGTCATTTCAGCTTCACTCGGATCGCAAACCATCGTCGATCACTATTCCGACTTAAGGTTTACGTCGTGTCAGTCGTGTCATTCCTTACACGCGGCGGTTTCCTGGCTCACTGGACCCTTTCCAATCTACATACCCACACCAAATCTCGCCTGTTGCTGTGCGACACACCTATATCCGTCGTCATACCCTCGTGTTACTAGACGATTCTGTATATGATAATACAGACGATCACGTCTACTACCTTGCTCGCCTACACCACTCTCGCTCAATAATTCTCGTCACCACAGCCTTTTACAACCCAAATCCATCGCTCCACGACTACAATCCACCACTGTCTCCACCTACGTACACGCTCAACGCAGAACAACGTTAGCAGCTTGCCATCGCCTACATACCGTCGCTACCTCAATACGCTCTCTCTCCAACACCATTCATAACATCAACCAACATGGTGCGCGATCCTCAATTCTGGAAACGCTTCAGCGTGGCGGTACACCAAGACGACCTTGAAAAGACAATTCAGGACCCCAAGCAACCGTACGTCCAAAGTTCCCTGTCTTCCCCTTCGCACTCGCCCCTCGGATCCCCCACTTCCCAATCACACCTAAGCCCTGCTTTCCCGCCCATGGTCCAACTCTCGTCCGTACGGTCGTCCTTTGTTTCATCGCCTCTATCCCCGTCTTCGGGAGAAGCATCTGCGAGCCAGATACCGCGGGATAAAAAACAACGCTCCCGGACCAAACTCCAAAAGACGAATTCGACCAAACCACTATTGCGACCGACCGTCTCTGTCCAAGAGAATCCCTCGGACAGAGATGGGGATGACCTTGCCCCACCACAAAGATCACTGTCCCCCCTTCCTGCATCACCATCACGCTCCTTCTTCCGCACCCCCAACCTCTCTACACTTTCCCTCAGCCTATCCGGCCGTCCGCAATCACGCTTCAACTTCGTGACGACCATCACGGCTGACGCGTCACATAGAGATTCATGGCTCGCTAAGCAGCAACGCAAAGCCAAGCAACGAACATGGATCTGCTGGTGTTTCTGGATGATCTTTCTGCTGCTGGTTGCAGGCGTTGTAGTCACTGTGCTGGTCTTGAAAGCGCACAATATCATCTGAGCAAATCACATGAGGAAGATCAGGACGTATGAGATGGATGTATATATGGTTATTTGGGCATGTTGTGTATAGGCGGCGTTTGATGTCTTTTCTACAGGACGCGGGCTGGTGTTTGGGTACCGACCTGCATCAGCGATGCATGGATTTCTCCTTTTCTTCTGTTTATATTCTAGATGATACCAGGTCTTACATGACCACAATGCAATGTCTGCTTCTTTCCTTGACAAAATCACATCATTGTTGCGCAACTCACGGGATAGTCTGAGCACACGAATAAACTAGAATGAACTGACATGATCGCTTTTGCGTAGCCTAGTCTAGCCTATTATCCACACTTCACTATTTTACCAAAGCTAATTTACAAATGCCAATTTGCAACGCCATGCCCGCTACGGATATCGAGGTATCAACCAACATGTCCCAAACTGTGCGAGCATGTATAACACCAAAACGCCCTTCGTATTCAGCCCGTGTCTCACGCTTCCCACTCTATATCTACCCTAGAACCTGTTCTTCGTCGCAGGCGGTGTAGGACTCCTTGACATACTCCTCGCGTCCCTGCCACGCTCCTTCAACCACTTGCGCGTGCACATGTCCAGCTCTCTGTCCAGCTCGGCCGTTGGTTCCTTGCGATGAATAAAGTTGCAGAAGCCGCCGCGGACGCAGCCTTCGCCACTGTTCAGACGACAACAGGCTTCGCGGAAATCGGTCACGGGCGAGAGTTCGCAGTAGATGGGACGACCAGCATACCAGCGCGAGTTGAGGGCGTCGCAGGCTTTTTGCGCGTCTTCTTCGTACTTGAATCGGACGTAGACATTGCCGATGAGATCTGCCAGAAAGGTTACGTTAGCAAACTGTTCAACTCTGAAGCAGCGAAACAAGAGAAGGGGGGTTCGTACGGTCATTGTTGTTGTCGCAAACAACCAACTCTTCAACAAGTCCATACTGGCACAGCTCGCACCAGATGTCCTCGTAAAATGCATCAAAGTGCATCTGCATCTGCTGCGGGTTCATCTTGTTCTTGGGGTCGTACGCCGGGTTCTGGTAGAGGTTGGGCAGCAGGATAGTCTGCGAGTACGACGGCTTGACGTGTTTTCTGGAGCAGCGGTCGCCGTGACGGCAGGCGCCAATCTTGTAGTAGAAGGAGCAATTGACCTTGTCCTGCTCGGTACCGAAGATGGAGGCGAGGTAGTTGGCCATGATTGCGGTTGTTCAAGAGAGTGTTGGAGGTGTTGGAGGTGTCGATGGAAGAGCGCTTCGGTTGTGTCGAGGGAAAACGGCGATGGCGTGGTGAGGTTGTCGCGCGCGGGCTGGAAAAGTCGCGATGCGCGAAGCTCTCTGCTAGGCAGATTGTCGCGGAGGCTAGTGCACGTGGTTAGCTGACAAAGCTAGGCGAATGCCAAGGAATCCTCGAGAAGCGCCACCTTCACTCACTTTCTTGATCATCGTCTCTTTCCAACCCAGAATGATGTTGCATTCGCTGTGGCAACGCCTGCAGCGTTTAAATTACTCAGCTACTCGCGATGGCGTTATAGATCATGGTCACTCATCAGTCTACTAGCTGCTTACAATTTGTTTCCTAACCCGTCTACTGTCGCTGGCATTCGAAGTCATGGTGCAATTCAAGATCATACTCCTGTCACCTTCAGGCCCCTTTAACGCACCTCACGAATGATCAGAACATTATCCCGTTGAACAATGGCACTGAGTGCCGGAACAGGAAGTCGGTCAGTAGTTTGAAGAAGGAATATCTTGCCCAGGTGGTACAACAATATCACCAAGAGTTGATTGCTGGGTCGAAGATGTCGTCATCCCGCTGAGTTCTACGAAGCGCTTTACCAGTGAAGTGAGGTAGACCATACCCGTGCGATTAAAGAGTACCATGGAGTTTGTATCAAGCCTGCATCTTTGGAAAGGCTTCCCTCGGTGACTAAGTGTCTCGTGGCACGAATTTGTATGAAAGACGCACTTGGTAATTGGCGCGATGCCCCTGGCTGTGGTTGTAACAACACCAAGATATGTTGGGATTTAAATAGTGATCTGACCAAGGAGAACGATAGCCATTGAAAAAGGTACAATGTATGACCAAGGCGTGCTAGTCTCCACACGTGCTGGGCAGCACTTGTCGCAATCAACAACAAAACGAATATCGGTTTGGGGCCTACAAGTGACGTCCGCATACCAAGTCGGTATGACCCAAGGTTCTCAAAAATCTTCTCCTACACTTACGTAAAATTCAATAATGCCTCTCTAGATCATAACTTCTCATCCTCTGGCACGTGGTAAGGACATACACCTCGCCTCTGACACCACGCACTCTCCGCGACACTCGACCTTTCCAAGCACTCCCCACATATTTCCTTCCAATGGAGTTTTGCTCCAACAATGACTGGTGGATGATGGTAGATCGGTCTTAAACAAGTAGCTTTATAAGTCAAGCTGTGGAAGCCGCAAGCCCAAGAGTTGGTGATTGCAGCGCATGTACAGTTTGCTGGTTTGGGGCTGGGCAGTGGCATTTCAGGAAGGAGGCAATATTCGCTTGCCTGGAGACTGCTCTGTAGATGAGTAATGGGAGCGAGTCAACAGAGAAGATAAGCGCATTGCTATGCTGTAAATGAGCCTTCAAAAGCAAGGAGAAAATTCAAAGGCTGCATTCAGTGCTTGAATGTGTGATAGTCCGTAATGGTAGTGTAGTAACATGCTTGATGCTATTACCGCTGACTTCGCGGTCTTCTTGATCTTTCACGTCAACAATGTTGTTGATCACACGCACTGTACATGTCGTTCTTCTGTTCACATCTTCACCAACACGTGTCTTGATCTCCAAGCATCTCAAAGAAGCGTATACCAACCTCCAATGCTTCCATAAGGTTGTCACTTTATTGTTTACCCTTCGACGGTGATTGAGTGCATATCAACGCAGAGACAGAAGCTGTTCGATGGTTGTGTCAATCTTGCTGGAAACCAAAAGAAATTCCTTGTGAAAAGTGTG